ATTTTACAATAAATACTTTAATTTAACTTCAACGCAGTAATGTTTTGTTGAAATGATTTACTAATGATGAGAAAATCTCGCCTTTTTGGGACTCTGACGTCACAGTCCTAGAATCCTAAATATAGGATGAAATAAAACAAAAATAAATAATAAGTTACCTACTAAGTTTTATTATTACATAAATAATTTTCAAACACAAACAAATAAGACTTAAAAATTAGACTTTTTTAACGACCAAATCGTCCACTGTGGAAACGTAATTTTTCCCAATTTTGATGAGCGCCAGGCCGGAGCCCACTCCGCAAGCGGTGCAAAGGGCGATATTTTGGGGCACCACACTCCTGATTATGGCCCAAATCAGTACCGAGCCCAACGAGAAAGTTACAGCCCCAAACGAACTGTACAGTAGTTTGTCTTTGGTGGGCAAAGCGGCTAAATGGGGCCTATTGTATAGATACAAGCCAGAGCCCACTAGTGTGTTGAATAGAAGGACATTGGTTATGTCTCTTCGTGGGAATATTCTGCAATGTTACACAATAATTATTTAATTATTTAATATATGGAAGTTGTTACCTTAAAACTAATGAAGGATTCATTACGTTGACCGAAAGGGCCGTGTAGCTCAAAACTCCTTGTGCAGGGGCGTAAAAGAACAGTAGGTTTTTCCCTGTGAAGGGCTTGAGGCCCAGTTTGCTGGTAAGCGATGTTTTGCTGGACTCGGTGGCCGACATCGTTTCAATTATGTAAAATCACGTGGAAATTCGAATTTAAATGGGAAAAATTTTCAAATGGCAAAATGGAAAATACAAAAATAAACCCCCCTGTGACGTTTATGTCAAAAAAAATTTGACAAGTTTTGTGTGGCGCCATCTATCAATTGTTTAGAGAAAATGTTTCGATTGTGTTACAGGAATCTGTAATTATGTTCAATATGGCTTCTATTTCAAAAATTATTAGTTATTTTATTTAGCTTAAAAAATGTAGAAAGTAATACTTTATTGCACGCAACGGCAGTTTACCACATATTGTGTGGTAAAGTACTACTTTTCACTTGCAAGTAAGTGCACTTTATCGCACAATATGTGGTAAATGTTTATACATATTAACGAAAATAACAATTATAAATAATTTGGTTTTACTTTGTGTTTTATTTACAAAAAAACTGAATGTCCTAATGAATTAATTACAATCAGGAAATATCACAAGGTTCCTGAAACTGGAGATGAATCCCTCCGGAATTTTTGATTGGTTGGATTGACTGAAAAATTATAATCTACCTAACCAATCAATAGTCAATAATTTTCGGGGATAATACCACGAGAGCTTCAAAAACTCATGCGTGTTTTCTCTGCAAATTTCACTCGTCCTACGGACTCGTGAAATTATAGAATACACGCAATCGTGAAAAATTATCGGTAATTTTAAAGCATAAGTGGTATTTAGAGGATTATTCTACTCATGTGTTAGAAATCACATAAGACAAGTGACGATTTTCAGTATTACAGCGAAAATTCTCTTTTCCATTTGTTTAACTAGAGAGAATTACAGCGATAATTCTCCCATGTTATTGTATACATAGTTGTCATGCTAATTTTTGATACAAACATTTATTTGTATTGATTGTTAAGATGTTCAAATCGTTTATTAGATACATATTTATTTCCATATTTTTTGCATTCTCATGCGTGAAATAATCCTCCAAATACCACTTGAGCTTTAAAATGAACCAGATAATTTTCCACTCATTATCGGTAATTTTGAAGCTCTCGTGGTATTATCCCCGATTATTTTACGTATGAGAATGCAGAAAATATGGAAATAAATATGTATTAAACGATTTAAACATCTTAACAATCAATACAAATAGATGGTTGATATCAGGAACCGTTTGTTTGTATCAAAAATTAGCATGACAACCATGTATATAATAACATGGGAGAATTATCGCTGTAATTCTCTCTAGTTAAACAAATGGAAAAGAGAATTTTCGGTGTAATTCTGAAAATCGTCACTTGTCTTATGGGATTTCTAACACATGAGTGGAATAATCAACATTATTACTGGCTTTCTGTTCTGCAATAATTTTTCTACTATAGGAATTAAGAGCCGATAATCCAAATTTTGATTAATACTGACTTTCAAAATTACTCTATAGGCAATCAAGATAGTTGGTAAATAGTCCAAATTTTGCGGTTTTTCTTGATTCACTGGATCATTATTGTAGTGGGAATCAAGAATCAATTAATAGTAATGTAATTTTGGCTTTCAAAATATCAATCTAACTAATCATTAGTTAATGATAATCAAAATTTGACAATCAAGAACCAATAATAAATTAAATTTTGATTACAACTGGTTACTGGAACATTTGTCCAGTTGATGTAATCAAGAACCAGTAATTTTGATTATAAAACTGATTCTTGATTAACTGGAAAATTGACATATAAGAACTTGAGACTTTGGTCACAAAATCTATAGTATTTTTAACCATTTATTGCAATGACTATTATTATAGGATGACTATAGGATTATTCATTAGGAAATATAGAATTAATTTACCTACGCACAAAATATCTGCAAAGGTAGCAATGCTGAGCTGCAGAAAAGCCGAAACGACTCCCCCGAAATCTACTCTAGAGTGGCTGTAGTTAATGTAAAGTTCAGAAAATTGCAGTTTTACAATTTATTTATAAAATAAAATACTATGTATAATAATTATATGTAATAAAAGTTTATGAAAACCTTATTATTGTTGATATGTGTAAACTTGTACTTGGACAAACATCTACACACTAATATGAAACCTACCCACAATTTCTTATATTAAACTACTAAATTTTATATATAAAAAAAATATCACATAGAAATTTCTAATTAAAATACTGAAATCAGATTTGTAACTACCTTAATGCAAATGGCACTTATATCAATATATTATATGTATTACCAAAACATAATTCTATCGACTTATTGGTGCCTGCAAATGCGCTAGAACTTCTTTGTGATGGTGATCATGATGATGTCCGTGAGAATGATCATGCCCAGCTAAAAGAAAATCAACATTTACTTTTACAACGAAGGTCAATTTACCAGGAAGCATTTAAATTTATATTGTCTAAAAGCAGCAATGATTCATATAATTGCCATAAGTGCATCTTAAATTCGGGTCAAGAGTTACAATAATTCAATTCCCGCTCCATTTGGCTTTTAGGCCTACTTTCTATAATAATATAAATATTATTGTTTCCTAAATAAATTATTAACTTCCTTGCATTTATTTGTTGCTTAATACTTCTCATGGCGCAATAATAAATAATAAAATTTCTATTATTTTACTTCCTTTTTGTTTTCCACACACTAATAAGTAATTATTGATTGAAAATATATAATTATTAATATATGGAAGATTTATGTTATTACTTACTCAAAATTTGTAAAGCAAACATGACCAAAAATCCAAAAAGTATAGCTAGTAATTGCCAAACGCCGCTGTGCCTATTGTCTCTTTCTCTGGCAAGTACTTCGAAGAATACCACGTACAGTAAAGTACCAGCCGCCATGCCTTGTAGTACCACACAAGTTACGTCTTCTTGGTTGTTGCCCAGATCGCTGATAATGATGCCAATACCAATACCTATATATAAATAATCAACCTTTTAGATTGGCATTCTTATATTAACAAATAATTTGAAAGTGTATTAAGGAGGCAATCACTGTGACTTGATTCAAGGAGTCAGCTCCAATTTAGGATGAAAATCCTCAAAATTTCAAGAGTTTTCGAGTCTTAAATTAAATGAGTTGCAGTTTTTATAGAGAATTTAATCCTCTTCCAAAAAATCTATAATTCAAGTTGATTCGTTGAGAATTACCAAAACTGTGATCAAATTTCTGAGACCATGTCAGATTTTATTGATTAAATTTGAAGCAAATTCCAACTTTGAAGCCTAATTTCTCAAAGCCTGTGAAAGCAATTGATTCAGTTTTTGGAGGTTTTATAGAGAATTTAATCCTCTTTCAGAAAATCTATAATAAAAGTTGATTCGTTGAGAATTACCAAAACTGTGAGTAAATTTTTGAGACCATGTCAGATTTTAAGAAAATTTCCGAGGTCAAAATTGAGATTTGCTTTTCAATTTTTTTTTTCTCATAAAATCACCCTCCTGAAAATAATCTAGGATTTGTTTCCAAATAATTTTAACCTCCTCTTTCGATTGAAAAAGTCCAATTTTGGAAAAACTGAAAATTTTAAAATTTTGATTTTTCAGGCTCTACCCCCTTTGGATTTTTAATTTAAAATCTTTTCTTGACAATATCTCAGTAAATATAAGCAGTATCAAGTCAAATTTTTCTGAGTTGAGTTTTCTTATTGAGTACTTCAATGCCTTATTTAGAAAATATTTTTATCACTTGTGGTTTTTGAGTTATTTGATCTTGAAGTTTTTGATAAAATTTGAAGCAAATTCCAACTTTGAAGCCTAATTTCTCAAAGCCTGTGAAAGCAATTGATTCAGTTTTTGGAGGTTTTATAGAGAATTTAATCCTCTTTCAGAAAATCTATAATAAAAGTTGATTCGTTGAGTATTATCAAAACTGTGAGCAAATTTGTGAAACCATGTCAGATTTTAAGAAAATTTTTGAGGTCAAATTTGAGATTTACTTTTCAATTTTTTTTCTCATAAAATCATCCTCCTGAAAATAATCTAGGATTTGTTTCCAAATAATTTTAACCTCCTCTTTCGATTGAAAAAGTCCAATTTTGGAAAAACTGAAAATTTTAAAATTTTGATTTTTCCGGCTCTACCCCCTTTGGATTTTTAATTTAAAATCTTTTCTTGACAATATCTCAGTAAATATAAGCAGTATCAAGTCAAATTTTTCTGAGTTGAGTTTTCTTATTGAGTACTTCAATGCCTTATTTAGAAAATATTTTTATCACTTGTGGTTTTTGAGTTATTTGATCTTGAAGTTTTTGATAAAATTTGAAGCAAATTCCAACTTTGAAGCCTAATTTCTCAAAGCCTGTGGAAGCAATTGATTCAGTTTTTGGAGGTTTTATAGAGAATTTAATCCTCTTTCAGAAAATCTATAATAAAAGTTGATTCGTTGAGTATTATCAAAACTGTGAGCAAATTTGTGAAACCATGTCAGATTTTAAGAAAATTTCCGAGGTCAAAATTGAGATTTGCTTTTCAATTTTTTTTTCTCATAAAATCACCCTCCTGAAAATAATCTTCGATTTGTTTCCGACTAATTTTGACCTCCTTTTTCGATTGGAAAAGTTCAATTTTAGAAAAATTGAAAAGGACCCCGCAATATTTAAACGGAAATTGGTTACCCGTGATATTTGGATGAAATTTAAATATGTTATTGGAAATGCCGTAAGCAAAATTTTTTACCATAGGCGTAACCTTGTGTATATGACAGGTGAGGCGGTATCAGCTGTCAAATATTGGAATCTAATATTCAAAAGCAGGGTAACTATGGCAGATTTTGATGAAGCAAGTATTGATTCCCAATAAGTCAACTAAGGAAACTCGAAAAATGTCAACCATTTTGAAATCTGTCAAAACTCTGCCAAACGGCAGCACTCATATTTTTCAGTTTTCAATATTTCATGTTGTGTCATTTGACAGTTTCAACCTATGTAGACTCTCAGTTTAGAAATTGGAAAAAAAAAAATTACAAAAATATCGAAACTTGTCATTTTTGTTGTAGTAACAAAAAAAAAAAAATCCAATTTAGCCCTTTTTCGTTTGACGGTAGTTTATTGGCGATAAATCATTAAACAAAACTCATAAACATCAAATTTTGACAGCTGTCAGAATCTGATTTTAGCTTTAATTGAAGAAAAAAAAACTGAACTATAGTTTTGTTCCAATTATTTAGGTTATGCAGCATGAACAAACATACACAGGTTTCAGAATTTGACAACTGTCAAAATTTGATGTCTATGAGCTTTGCTTAATGTTTTATTACCAATAAACTACCTTAAAACAAAAAAGAACCAGTCTTGAATCTTTTTTCCTACTAAAATGAATGACAGGTTTTGACAATTCTGTAACTTTTTTTCCAAGTTTTCAACTCAGAATTGACATAGACTAAAACTGTCAAATGACACATCATAAAATATTGAAAACTGAAAAATATTAGCAGGGTTTTAACAAATGTTAAAATGATTGACATTTTTCGATATACCTTGTTCGACTTAGTAGGAATCTTGCTTCATCAAAATCTGCCATAGGTACCCTGCTTTTGAATATGAAATTCCAATATTTGACAGCCGATACCGCCTCACCTGTCATATATACAAGGCTGCCACTCCAAATATCACGGGTAAGCAATTTCTGTTTAAATATTTGCGGCGTCCTTCCTCAGGCTCAGGTGCCCCCATTAATGGTGACTTAAGCATATGCTTTGGATATTCCTGTCACATGAAAAGATCTTCATAATGGCATATGCATCGGATATCTTTATATTCCCATGAAATATGCCATGAATATTCCTGCAATATGTTTGTGCCATCTGGGTATTTCTCAATTGCTTTGTCTCAATTTTTGTCTGTTCCTAGCTTTTGAATTTTCAATATCTTCTGAGCTTCTTTAAAGAAAAAAATTCAGAAAAATAGTCAAAATATGAGAGCCAGGAAAAGGAAAACTACGTCTTTTTGTCTAACAGTTTTTCTTCAATTTACTTTAAATTTTCCTCTTTATTTCTCAATTTCATTGAATCAATTTTTGTCTGTTCCTGGAACTTGAATCTTCAATATCTTTTAAACTCCTTTAAATAAAGAAAATTTAGAAAAACAGACAAAATATGAGAACCAGGAATAGAAAAACTATACGTCTTTTTGTCCAACAAATGTCAAATGCCTCAAATGTCCTCTTCATTTCTCAATTTCTTTGTCTCGATTTTTGTCAATTCCTGGCTCTTGAATCTTCAATATCTTCTGAGCTTGTTCAAGTAAAGAAAATTCAGAAAAAATAGACAAAATATGAGAGCTTGGAATAGAAAAACTATGTCCTTTTGTCTTAATTGGCTTCAAATATCCTCTTTGGCAATTTTACTGGTAGTCAAAAGAAATCTGGGGAAATAATTATTGGTTTCCTCTAAAACCGGAATCTGATGTACAAAAATTGACCTACGAGTTACCCCTCAGGAGTAAACCGCAAAGAAAATTTAATGTCCAAATTAGGAGAAATCAATAAGAAATCCGAGGAAATCTAAGGTAATCAGAGAAAAATATGAGGAAATCAATGAAAATCTAAAGGATCTCGGACGAAATCTTCAAGAAATTATGGAAAATCTTGAAAAAATCAGTCAATTTCTAGTACCAGCGCATGCGCAGTTTTCAAAAATCTTTCTAATTTGAGATTATGTTATTAGGGAAACTTTTGGGCAATCTTACTGGAAGTCAAAAGAAATCTGGGGAAATAATTAATGAGAAATCTAGTCTACAAACTAGGGGAAATCAAGAGAAAATTTAAGGCAATCAGGGGATGTCAAGGAAATTCTTAAAGAATTCTGGGGAAATTTTAAGCAAATCAATCAATCTCTAGATCCAGCGCATGCACAGTTTTCAAATATCTTTATAATTTGAAGTTATGTTATTATGAGGCAATCTTATTTGTATCAGAAAAATACTGAGGAAATAATCCATGATTACCCTTCAGGGGTAAACCGCAAAGAAAATCTGGTGTACAAACTATAGGGGAAATCAAGAGCAAATTCAAGGCAATCAAGGGAAATTGAGGAAATTTTTTATGGAATTCGGGGGAAACCTTAGAAAAATAGTGGGAAATCTTAAGGAATGAAATTAATCTCTATAGATCCGGCGTATCCGAAAATCTTTAAAATTTCAGGTTATGTATCAGGGAAATTCTCCACTCGGCAGTAAAAAAATACATGCATGTTTATCATCGACAAAATATAAATGCAATGTTGTTTTTGCTAGAATGGAAACGCTTATCAGTTATAAGTAAAAATAACCGTGAAACATGGTACCCCTGTTTGTTTCCACATTAAATGTCGGCGACATGATGATTCACGAATTTTCCCTATTAACCATTACAGCATCCTGTAATAGGATAACATCATGACGTCGAAAAATTTGGAGTTGGTCCGGGTCAAATCCCCGAAATTTCAAACCAAAGGCGCCGCCGATTTAGAGATTTTCCAAAAGTATCGAATTTTAAAAACTTTGATTTTTCAGGCTCTACCCCCTTTGGATTTTCTATTCAAAATCTTTTATTGACAATATCTCAGTAAATATGAGCAGTATCAAGTCAAATTTTTCTGAGTTTTTACCTTTCATTGAGTACTTTAATAGCTCATTTACACACTTGTGGTTTCTGAGTTATTTGATCTTGAAGTTTTTGATGAAATTTCAATCAAATTCCAACTTTGAAGCCTGTAAAAGCAATTGATTTAGTTTTTGGAAGTTTTATAGAGAATTTAATCCTCTTTCCGAAAATCTATAGTTGATTCGTTGAGAATGACCAAAACTGTCATCAAATTTTTGAGACCATATTAGATTTTAAGCAATTTTCTGAGGTCAAAATTGAAATTTGATTTTCAATTTTTTTTTTTTCATAAAATCAAACTCCTGAAAATAATTTAGAATTTTTTTCCAACTAATTTTAACCTTCTTTTTTGATTTTGAAGGTCCAATTTTACAAAAAAATAAATAAGTTCTTACCTAATGGTGTGACAACAGCAAAAGTCCCAATATACAAAACGACCAACATCGCTTTAGTCTTGGACGACACCAGTTCAATTCCAACGCAAAACGCAATCACCAACTTGTGAGTAGCGATCGCTGCAAACAAGTACCAAACTTTCTGGACATTGCTCTCAAGTCCCACAGCTAAACCTTCGAAAACTGCGTGAAAACTCAGCGCTAGAACAGCTAAAAAACCGCTGAAGCTGTTTTTAGCCAAACTGTGATGGCTGTGACCAGACTTTGTAGTGTTTATAAGTTCTTTGTTGGAGCTGGAAATGTAGCTGATGTTGCCGTCATCGAATTTCGTCAGAGTCACTCTGGGAATTGACATGTTTTCTGTTTTACGAGAACTGCATCTAATGGACAGCGATCTAAAGGACAAATAATTAGAAGATTCTATACCTACATCTTTTTCCAATAATTGTAATTCAGAAAACCTTGCCTTATATTTGAATAATCTGAATTACAAATATTGAAAAAGGTATATAAATCATGGAAAACATTACCTGTGTAAAGCTTCATTTTCTTGATGCACCTTCCTATCCAAAACAACATGGACCAATTCCTCAATCAAATACACGAAGAAAAATCCGAAACAAAACACCAGTTCGGACATGGGAACTCCCCAATCCAAAATCCTATCCTCTGCTTTTAAATGGTCAAAAAACTCCCTCACCTCTGGCTGAAGGTGTATGAAAGTAGTAAAAAGCAAAACACCTCCTCCAAAACATAAAAGCAGTGATAAAAGTAGGTTTTTGCTTCCATCTATCGACTGAAATGAACCTAATTTGGTCAGTTTCAAGGGCAGTAGGCCTAGGAGAAAGGAGGCAAGGCCTAGTACTACCATCGACACTATTTTGGCCACAATTAGGTCATCGTTGTTGAGTACTGAGTCCATTTTTGCTGAAAAACATTAAACTTTCAAATTATAAATCAAGGTCAACCAAAAACATTCTGTATTTAATTACAAAAGTCGTACATAAATATTGAGACATTACGCCCGCAGGAGGTTGTTCAACCTGAAATTGAATTTATCGGTAATTACGGTTTTGGAATTTACTATAGAAAGATGAAGATTACTTAGAAAAAGTAAAATAACATTTTAATGGGTACTACCAGGAAAATCCGCAAGAATGTTATGGAAAGTACCATCGGTCCATTTATAAGCGCATGACTTGTTTTAATGACAATAGAAAGTGTTCTATGCATGGAATTGCAATTGACTATTTTTAGATTTTTAAGAATTGCGGGTTTTCATCGCATGAATTTAACCTCTTTGAGGTTCTGCATTTGCCTGATTATAAGGATTTAAAGAGAATTCAATTGGCTTTAACCCATATAACAAAATTGCATCCTTAGAATGTATTAAGAATGTTCTTTTTTTAGGAGGAATGTGCCTAGAATCTTCGCCAAAACCATTGCGAAGAATGTCCTGAGAATGTTCTGAGAAAAGATTGTAGAAATACTGTTTGCAATACCCAAGAACTTCCTGGGAAATCCATTAGGATATTCCTAGAATATACCTATGAGATTCTCAGTACATCCTGAAAAGAATATTCCTGTTTGATTCTAAAAATATGCTCGAAATGTCTCATATTCAAAGAATGCTTCTATGACATTATAGTTATGTTCTCAAAAGAATATTATACCAATATGCTTGAAATATTCTTAGAATATATCTACATATATCATTCTCAATATGTATCCTAGACATAACATTCTTATTTGATTCTAAGGATATACTTGGAATGTTAATTTTCTTTTCCAAATAATGCTCCTTCCAGTCCTTTTATATTAAAGGCAGTGAAAGAATTGTTGGAAAATTTCTCTGGAAAACACAAGTGTTTAACCAAAGCTCCGATTTCGACTTGTTATGCTCTCGTCGAAGCACGCCAACTGAGAGAAACAGGTTCCAAGGTGATTCAAACGCGAGGCAAGATGTAGATCTTTAATAGCGCGTGGCTCCCTCTCTTGGAAGTCTTACAAAGCAGAAGAAAATGAATATACCTATAATATTCTTAGTAGGTTCTAGATAGAGCATTATTGTTTAATTGTTCAAATAAGTTTTTGAGTAGGTACTTTAGATAATTAGGTGAACAATATGGAAATATTCTTATCATGGGTACCTACTTACATTAACTTCTCAACACAACTTGGTAGGTATATCCTTAATACTTGATAGAGATATTAGCCGAAAGAACATTTTTTAGAGTACCTACATTATAATAATGTTCGTATGAGAATATTCAAATAATGTTATATAAAGTAGGTTCTTAGCACAATCTTTCAGGTAGGTGCATAGAAGCAACATTCCTAGTACATAAATAGAACGTTCAAAAATGAATATTTCAATCGAAACAACCCAAGTAGCATATAATATGGGGTAAACATCGTTTTTCAGTTGGGCCAATATTTATTCATTTTTGTTGATAAATCAACACAGTACCAATATTGGGGGCAACGTTAGTTTTAACTATGTGGAAACAATATTTAAAAATAATCTTGTACCAATATTGTTTTCGTAGATTAATTAACTCTTCAGTAATTTGAATATTGGCCCAAGACTTTTCACTACAATATTGATTTATGAAATATTGGCCAAATATTACATTTTATATTATCGAAACAATATTGTAATATAATATTAATTCAATATTGGCATTCAATTTTTTATTGATATTTAAATTCACTTCAAAAACTTTGTATACCCAATATTTATTTCCAATTTTTTCGCAATATTGATACTTTTTTGAAAAACCCAATGAAGGGCCAATATTTACATACTAATTTTTACCAAGGTTAGATTTTCTGAATTGAAAACGTTGGTCCAATATAGAGTATTCAATGTGCGCACTTGGTGTGCCGACCAAAAAATAGATGGAGACTCTGTCTTCACTTTACCTGTCTTAAACCTGGTTCCAGGATGAAGCCAAAAATTGGTTATTTTCTCTCTGCGGGACCCTGGCGGGACTTAACCATGCTGATGACTTATGATACAGCGAAACGGGTCCACGGATGGTCCGGCAGAGAGAAAACACTTCTTAGTCGGTCCTTATAATTGGTCCGTTACCTTAATTAAATATAATATAAAGTCAAGATTTACATACGTCTTCGGGCCAATATTGGTAATTTCAATTGGCTCTATATTGCATAAAGTTCTTGATATGATATTGATTATTTCTTTTTGGGCCAACATTTGGTTACGTTATTGTACCAACGTTGGTATTTGTTTTTGGGTATATATTGACATACGTTCTTGGACAAATATAGCAGAATGTCCACATCTTTTATTGGGCCAACATAGAGAATCTGACTTGGGCCAATAAATCGTAGTTATTGTCCCAATATTGGCCCAACATGGGAGTGCTACTTGGGAATCTAAAAGAACATTCCAAAAAGCACTTTGAGGGAATATTCTGAGAACATGAATGTTCTTTCACTGTTATGTGGGAATTTGATCCTATAATTACGTCAAGTTAGGACTAAAATTAACAAAGTTGTGAGGCAAAATGTACATCAATGTTGTTTGAAATGACATTCAGGGATATCTTTCTCTTTGTTCGCCTTCATAGGCGCAACTAGGGGGGTGCTTGGGGGTGCATCCCACCATAGTACTACCTACAGTGGCACTACCTAACAATGATATAAAAAATTAGTGCAACCAAATTATTTATTTTTCTTGCACTTTTTGTACTTACTTACGTCATCGATGACGTCATAATTTAGAAAAAAAATATTTGTCGATGATTAATTCACAGAGCTCGTTCGCAATTGTTATTGTTATAGAATAAAATTTTTCAATCGGGGCCGGTATTACAATATTACCTAAAAATCAAGACTTGGCCTAAAATATAGAGTTCTTATGTTATATTTAGGATGACGTCATCGAACAAGATCAGACAATATTGTCAATGTCTATATTTATTCTATATCTTAAGATGACATTGAAATACCGGCCCTTAAAAAATAATTGGAATTCCAATTATATAAATTAATTAACGGCGTATTATACAGGGTGTTTTTAAATATCATGTACAAACGGCAAAGGATGATTCTTTGTTTTTTTTTTATGACTGAAATCTCAAATATGTTCTAGAAAATTGACTTATTTAAGCAAAATTTAAAAAAAATTCACCCTCTTACATTTCAATTTTTTTCTGGAAAACTAGCAAAGGAATTTTGAAAATTTTTCAAAAATAAAAGGAAGATGAGGAGCTCATTTTACGAAAATTTTAAAATTTTCCAGTAAAAAATCACTCCAGGAAAAATTCTGAAATAATGACTTTTTCAAGTAAAATTAAGAAAAACTCATCCTCTCACATGGAAAACTAATAAAGCAACACTTATGAAATTTTTCCAGGAGAAACAAGAAAATAAAGAGCTCATTATAGAAAAATTTCAAAATTCTTTACTGAAAAATCACTCCAAGAAAAGTTCTGGAAAATTGACTTTTTTAAGGAAAATTCATCCTTTTACATTTCAATTTTTTTCTGGAAAATTGGCAAAGAAAAAATTGTGAAATGTTTCCAAAAGAAAACTTTTGTGGCATTTTGTGATTTTCGCAATTTTTTGTTGTTTTTTAAATTTCTATGATTTTCTTGAATTTTTTGATTTTTATAAAATTTATATTTTTGTAAATTTGTTTGATTTTTGTAATTTTCATAAATTTTCATGATTTTTGTGATTTTTTCAATTTTTTTTGTTTGTTTTTCATACACTTTTGTGATTTTTTGTGATTTTCACGTTTTTGGAATTTCTTAAATTTTTATGATTTTTATAAATTTTTATGATTTTTTGTGTTTTTCGTAATGTTTTTTATAATTTTCGTTAGTTTTCAGGATTTTCATAAATTTCTATGATTTTCAATAATTTTCATTGATTTTTGTAAATCTTGATCTATGATTTTCTGGATTTTTAGTATTTTTTTAAATTTTTATGATTTTTTTTCAATTTTCATTGTAATGATTTTCTAGTTTTATAATATTTTCATGATTTTCATAATTTTTGTGATTTTCCAAGTTTTTATAATTTTTTAAAATTTTTGTAATTTTGTGATTTTCGTAAATATTTATGATTTCCATGAATTTTTGTGATTTTCATAAATTTTTATAATTTTTGTAATTTTTGTAACTTTACGTTATTTTATTCATTTACTGAATTTCTATGATTTTATTAAATCCTAAAGAATTCACAAGATTAATAAATTCACAGAATTTACATAGAAATTTATGAAAATCAAAAATCATAAAAATTTATAAAAATTATAAAAATTTAAGAAAATAAAAGATTACAAAAATTCGAAAAAATCATAGACATCAGGAAAATTACAAAAATCACGAAAATCATGATAATTTCCAAAAATCATGAAAATTCACAAAAGTCATGAAAATTTCTAAAAATCACGAAAATCGTAAAAATTTATAAAAATCACAAAAATGATGAAAATTTACAAAAATCATGAAATTTCCAAAAATCACGAAATTCATAATTTCCAAAAATCATGAATCTTTCAGAAAAAAAAAACTTCAAAATTTTTCTCGGAAAAAAAAAAAATTCAGAAAAAAAAAATAAAAATTCGCGCAAAAAAATCAAAATCAATAAAAATTTCTGAGCGAAAAAAATTCAACAAAAAAATAAGCCAAAAAAAAAATTTTCTGAACAGAAAAATTTGATTCGATTGACATTTTTGAAATTTGGACGTTTATAGGCGTCGCTCGGGAAGATCGAAATTTGAAAAATTTGAAAAATCATAGGCGTCGCTCAAAAAGATTATTTTCTCAAAATTTTAAAAATTTAGACGTTTATAGGCGTCACTCGGAAGGATTGATTTTCTCGAAATTTGGACGTTTATAGGCGTCTCTTAAAAAGATAATATTATTTAAATTAAAATAATAAAAAAACTGGCAGAAGAAAAATTTTGAAAATTTTCCAGGGAAAAGAGGAAAGTCAGGAGCTTATCATGGGGAAATTTCCAGTGAGAATTTCATACATCTGTCAAAACCGGTATTCCAACAATAAACTGACATGTTTTGATTGTTGATTTGTACCAATCAGATTGGAATTACGCGATAATTTGCACTAGAAAATTGCATAGTAACTAGTGCGAAAACTGGTGTTTTGACGCATTCAGGCAAATTTTCCAAAAATTATCAATAATTTCCATTGCACTCGTTATATTACTATTGAAAATTCACTTCAGGGAAAATTTTGGAAAATTGACTTTTTCAAGTAAAATTAAGAAAAACTCATCCTCTCACATTTCAATTTATTTCTGGAAAACTAATAAAGCAAAACTTGTGAAATTTTTCCAGGAGAAGGAAGAAAATGAGGAGCTTATTAAAGGAAAATTTTAAAATTTCCTAGTGAAAAATCGCTCCAAGGAAAGTTCTGGAAAATTGACTTTTTTAAGTAAAATTCATCCTTTCACATTTCAATTTTTTTCTGAAAAATTGGCAAAGCAAAAATTGTGAAATTTTTCCAGGAGAAAGAGGTAAGTGAGGAGCTCATTGTAGGAAAATCTCAAAATTTTCCAGTGAAAAATCACTCTTGGAAAAATTCTGAAAAAGTGACTTTTTCAAGTAAAATTATTCTTTCACATTTCAATTTTTTTCTGAAAAATTGGCAAAGCAAAAATTGTGAAATTTTTCCAGGAGAAAGACGAAAGTGAGAAACCTATTATAGGAAAATTTCAAAATTTTCCAGTGGAAAAACATTTTAGGAAAAATTCTGGAAAATTGACTTTTTTAAGCAAAATTAAGGAAAATTCATCCTCTCACATTTCAATTTATTTCTGGAAAACTAATAAAGCAAAACTTGTGAAATTTTTCCAGGAGAAGGAAGAAAATGAGGAGCTTATTAAAGGAAAATTTTAAAATTTCCTAGTGAAAAATCACTCCAAGGAAAGTTCTGGAAAGTTGACTTTCTTAAGCAAAATTCATCCTTTCACATTTAATTTTTTTTCTGGAAAATTGGTAAAGCAAAAATTGTGAAATTTTTCCAGGAGAAAGAGGTAAGTGAAGAGCTCATTATAGGAAGATTTCAAAATTTTCCAGTAAAAATTCATTACAGAAAAATTCTGAAATATTGACTTTTTCAAGTAAAATTGAGGAAAATTCATCCTCTCACATTTCAATTTTTTTTTTAAAAAAAAGGAAAGGAAATATTTTCCTGGAGAAAGAAGAAAATGACGAGCTTATTATAGGAAAATTTCAACATTTTCCAATGAAAAATCAATCTATGAAAAATTCTGAAAAATTGACTTTTTCAAGTAAAATTGAGGAAAATTCATCCTCTCACATTTAATTTTTTTTCTGGAAAATTGGCAAAGCAAAGCTTGTGAAATTTTTCCAGGAGAAAGACGAAAGTGAATGGGCTTGTTATAGGAAAATTTCAAATTTTTTTAATGGAAAATCATTCCAGGAAAAATTCTGGAAATTGACTTTTTTGGGCAAAATTCATTTTTTAATTTTTTTTTAAAAAATTGGCAAAAGAAAAATTGTGAAAATTTTCTAGAAAAAAGAGGAAAGTGAGGAGTTCATTATAGCAAATTTTTAAAATTTTCCAGTAAAAAATCATTCGAGGAAAAATTTTGGAAAATTAACTTATTTAAGCAAAATTAAGAAAAAATTCATTCTCTTACATTTTAATTTTTTTCTGGAAAATTAGCAAAGGGAAAATTTTGAAAATTTTTCAGGAAAAAGATAAAAGTGGGGAGCTCATTATAGGAAAATTTCGAAATTTTCTAGTGAAAAATCACTTCAGGAATAATTCTGGAAAATTGAATTATTTAAGCAACATTAAGAAAAATTCACCCTTTTACATATTAATTTTCTTTAGGAAAATTGGCAAAGGGAAAATATTTCAGGAAAAAGAGGAAAATGAGGAACTCATTATAGGGAAATTTCGAAATTTTCCAGTGAAAAATCACTCCAGGAAAAATTTTGGAAAATTGACTTGCGAAATTAAGGAAAATTCACCTCTTACATTTTATTTTTTTTCTGGAAAACTAATAAAGGGAAAATGTTGAAATTTCTTCAGGAGAAAGAGGAAAGTGAGGAGCTCATTAGAGGAAAATTTTAAAATTTTCCAGTGAAAAATCACTCCAGGAGAAATTTATTTATATATTTTCGGATAATTGAATAAACTCTACTCTAAGCAATATTTCCGAAGATGCTCTATGAATTAATCTATGACTTTTTCTCTAAGTTATGACGTAATCGATAACGTAAGAACCTACGTGCCGTGCAACGAATTATATGTTTGTTTGAAATTTCAGACATAAAAAAACCTATTTTTAAAAAAAAAGGCAAATGATGACATATAGTTGCGCTTATGTTCGCCTTAAGTTTTCTTAGGAAACTTTGGAAACACAGATTTAAAGAGAATTTAATTGGCTTTAATTTGAGCCTAATTCTGTTAAGTGTTGAAGCAAATAGAGCATCGATGTTATTTTGGAAAAAAAATTATTATATAGAGATTTATGTATTGAAATTTAAACTTTAGATGCATACAAATCATATTCCAAGCTCTTCCAGACTTGAAATTTCAAACTAATCCAATCCAATATCCAGAAATTTTCAAAATTTTGACTATTCCAGGCTCTTGAAAGTCATAATAATTGATGTATTTATTTCTGTCCGTGGCATAATTAACAAACTAACTGAAACTTCAAAAGTAAAAATGTGCTTTAAATAAAATGTATTATTGCATCTCCAATACCCCAAAATTAACTATCAACAAAATATTTATCTCCCGCAGGTAAATAATATGGATGAATCTGGCCTCAAAGAATAAGCGGCTTTTACCTTAACATTTAGTTTATCCTTTGGTTAAATCTGATCTGACACTGATTATTTATACATATGTTTTACCTCCTCCCCTTTCACCTTAGACCGAATCAATTTTCTCTCACTAGCCAAACTATAGATGAATCTAGAGCCAGTTAAATTTTATCCGAGATACTTAATTATTTACATATGTGTTAACCGAAGGTTAAAGTTATATATTGCATATTGCATTCCCAAATATTCAAAATTAACTTTTACCAAAATATTTATCTTCCAATTAAATAATTGGGTATATAAATTTGGCCTGTACGACTAGGGACCGGCTAATGAGTGGACAGTTATTTAGTTTAACTGATAGTTAATTAATATTTATTATTAGTTAACAGACTGGTAAAGTCCACTTTGATACCTAACATGGTCCTAGATCAATCGTTTATTAAGTATACTGGTATTAGTTAGTTAACCACATTCTTAGATTGTGTTATTAGGGCCAGTTTTACAAACAGTGATAACCACAAGACATTGGTAACCTACAATATTTCATAATGTTTAGTTTAGCCAAAACCATCATTGGTGAAGCTTCAGATTATTCCATGTGGTTAAGCCGCAACTATGTATTTGTTAACCAGTGCAGGTTACCACCAACAGTGAAACTGAGCCTATATGTCCAATAATATGATTGTTTTTGTGTGACATATTCTCAGAATTAACAGGCGGGGGACTTAACAAACAATCGATCAAGTGAAGCTTTTACTTTAACAGTCAATTTATCTTTAAGTTAAATCCTTTTTAGTTAAGCCTGATTTATTTATTCAAAAACTTCAGTGGTAAGTATGTTGATCCCCCAATTAAATAATTTTTAAATAAGAAGTGAGATTTGCTATTCAATAGCCAGTTTATCTTTTCACTTAAACTAATTATTTAAATCTGTCTTAACTGAAGATTAAAGCGTTATGAATTTGGAGTTAAAATTAATTGAACTTGAAAATCATATTTCTAGTTTTTACAAAGCAAACTAAACTAAAATCTAGTTTTTGAGCATTTTATCGTTTATTTTTGATACAAAACTTTCAATATGAATAATGAATGATGATAAAATAGGAATAAATAATCAATAAAACTAATTTTATAATAAAAAATCAACCAGGTGGTTTTGTGATTAACGTTAAATTATGTAAATTTTAACTTAATTTATTCGTTTTTTGTTTCTTAAAATTGCATTAATTGTTCTTGGTAATGGATAAAATATGAATAAGATTTCCTCTTTTTATGAATACAGTTTCTCTTCGCTTACATGGAACTAATCAATTATTAATCGAAATATGTAAAACAATTCTATACACAGGATGTATAAGTAAGTACTTACATTTCATACTAAACACAAAATATGTACTTACATGGTACTACAAAATTTATTCACATATTTATTTGCACTTATTGGTTGGTACCTACTCACGGTACCACTAGTTTATGCAGAATGAATGGGGGGTTCCTGCTGTAAGAAAATGATTGATCTTGAATGTTTGGGTTCTCATGTAAGAAGAGGGGAGAGAACCTGCCGCAGTACTGTTGCATCAGGAAAAGGTACTTTTTGTTTTGTGTCTGGGCCCGATTTGCAATACGCATTAATAAAAGGGATTTGTTGGCATTGTAAATATTTTTATTTGTCTTTTGATAAATTCATATGACAATGGAATTGTAAATAATAATATTGGGGTTTAGAGGCGCCAAAAATAACTACAAATTAACTACAAAATATTAAAACATATACGTAATCATGCATTTTTTTTTTTTTTTTTTAGGAAAAATTCAATTATTCTACAAATACTTATTACAAGGCACGTAATTATTATATTTTTTTTTTATTTCGAAAACGTGATTCCAACTAAATACTGAAATCCTATTAGGTTTTACAATAGATTTAAATGCCAATAAGTATCTATATATACCTATATTCATATAGATAAAATCAAGGCCAAAATTATATTAATAAAATGCTAAATTGATATCTATATTAGCTTAAGAGGTAAGATATCTAGATATCTATATGTAAATATTTGAATTTTTCTGGAGTATATATAAACTGGCAACAAGAATTAGTATCTAGTCTTGGTACTCTTGGTGCGTGACAAGTAAGTTTTTATAATTTTCATTTGAATATTTGAAGTACTTATATCTAGGTACTTAAAAAAATTAAAAATATTGCAAGTTAATATAATTATTAGATGAACGAGATTGGTTTTGGGACATATGCAAACCCAAGACCAAGATTAACTTGGTCTTGGCTCAAATTACAATATTTCATCTTAAACAAGAAATTAATTTATGCCATATACCTATATGTTTTATTAATTTCCAATGGAGATCGTTGATTGATTACATAAAAGATCCATTTTGTCTCTGAGACTAAACTCGTAAAACAGGAAACAGGTGTGGGGATTTATTTTTTTAAAAAACTTTAATTGATTTATTTTAATCTTTTGAAACCGTTAAGTATAAAATATTTTGCTTTATCTTTGGCTCGTTCATATCGGTTCGTTCTTCACTCGTAGCCACACTGATTTTATAAGTGAAGTGGACGAAAATCGTGTGACTTTTGTAACTGTAAGTTATAAATAAATATTTATTAATTATTTGTAGGTAACAATAAACAAAACATTTTGAAAGGTTTTTTTCTTTATTTTTATCAATAATTTATTTCCTCGTTTTTTTTTTTTAAATATACTTACCTACTTAATTGATTGATAATGTAGTTTTACAAGGCCATACTTGTAAGAAATAATTTTTTTAAAGATTAAGTTGTTGAACTTTATTTAATGATGATTGTTTGTTTATGATTGAAAGTGTTTTTTAATGATTCATCATCATTCGATGACTCTTGAGTCAGAATTTAATTCTCTACAAGATAAAACAAGTTTTGTTCCAATATTTGGAACGGTTTTCAAGATATGGGCCTCCAAAGTTGAAACTGGAAAAATGTAAATATCTTTATTCCTGACGTTCTTAGAATTAAAATTTGATGAGATGCACGCAAGCATGAGAATCCTATTCCAGGCTCTCCTAAAGTTGACATTTGTATTGGAGAAGTTCAAGTTATGATTATTTCAAAGTTTCCTTAAAATTTGAATCAATTTAAACATACAAATTATATTCCCAGCTCTTCTGAATCCGAAATTGAAGAAAAGTATAAAAGTTTGATCATTCTAAAGTAAAATTTGTTGAGAACAAGGCTCATTTTTGACTTTCTTAAAGTGGAATTCAACTTAAAAAGTGAAAAATTCCATTCCTGAAGTTCCTAGAATTTAAATTTAAATTGCAGAAATATGAATTAAAAGTTTATTCCAGGCTCTCCTAGAGTTGACAATTCAATTGGAGAAGTTATTACTTGGATATTTGTAGTTAATGATTCGGAATCAGAATTAAATACTCTCTACAAGATAAAACAAGTTTGATTCCAATATTTGGAACGGTTTTAAAAATATGGACTACCAAAGTTGAAACTTTGTGTCAGATTTCCATAAAGTTCCTTGGTGCTACATCCAAAATTATTTCTTTGGGTTTTTTCAATTTTTTGACTATACCAATGAAAAAAGGAGGTGAAATTTATCAGAAAAACATTCTGACAACTCTATGTTAGAGTTTTGAAACAAATTGAAAATACTTATTGGTGTCTGAAAATTTTATTTATTCGACATGGCTTCTCAAAATCATCTATGACTCCATTAATATTTCACATATTTTAATGTAAAAATAACTATTCTGAATCAGAATTTAATGCTCTTCAAGATAAAATAAGTTTGATTCCAATATCTGGAACGATTTTCAAGATATGGTCGTCCAAAGTTGAAACTTTGTGTCAGATTTCCATGAAGTTCCTTGGTGCTACATCCAAAATTATTTCTTTGGGTTTTTTCAATTTTTTGACTATACCAATGAAAAAAAAAAGGTGAAATTTATCAGAAAAACATTCTGACAGCTCTATGTTAGAGTTTTGAAACAAATTGAAAATACTTATTGGTGTCTGAAAATTTTATTTATTCGACATGGCTTCTCAAAATCATCTATGACTCCATTAATATTTCACATATTTTAATGTAAAAATAACTATTCTGAATCAGAATTTAATGCTCTTCAAGATAAAATAAGTTTGATTCCAATATCTGGAACGATTTTCAAGATATGGTCGTCCAAAGTTGAAACTTTGTGTCAGATTTCCATGAAGTTCCTTGGTGCTACATCCAAAATTATTTCTTTGGGTTTTTTCAATTTTTTGACTATACCAATGAAAAAAAAAGGTGAAATTTATCAGAAAAACATTCTGACAGCTCTATGTTAGAGTTTTGAAACAAATTGAAAATACTTATTGGTGTCTGAAAATTTTATTTATTCGACATGGCTTCTCAAAATCATCTATGACTCCATTAATATTTCACATATTTTAATGTAAAAATAACTATTCTGAATCAGAATTTAATGCTCTTCAAGATAAAATAAGTTTGATTCCAATATCTGGAACGATTTTCAAGATATGGTCGTCCAAAGTTGAAACTTTGTGTCAGATTTCCATGAAGTTCCTTGGTGCTACATCCAAAATTATTTCTTTGGGTTTTTTCAAATTTCTGACTATACCAATGAAAAAAGGAGGTGAAATTTATCAGAAAAACATTCTGACAACTCTATGTTAGAGTTTTGAAACAAATTGAAAATACTTATTGGTGTCTGAAAATTTTATTTATTCGACATGGCTTCTCAAAATCATCTATGACTCCATTAATATTTCACATATTTTAATGTAAAAATAACTATTCTGAATCAGAATTTAATGCTCTTCAAGATAAAATAAGTTTGATTCCAATATCTGGAACGATTTTCAAGATATGGTCGTCCAAAGTTGAAACTTTGTGTCAGATTTCCATGAAGTTCCTTGGTGCTACATCCAAAATTATTTCTTTGGGTTTTTTCAAATTTCTGACTATACCAATGAAAAAAGGAGGTGAAATTTATCAGAAAAACATTCTGACAACTCTATGTTAGAGTTTTGAAACAAATTGAAAATACTTATTGGTGTCTGAAAATTTTATTTATTCGACATGGCTTCTCAAAATCATCTATGACTCCATTAATATTTCACATATTTTAATGTAAAAATAACTATTCTGAATCAGAATTTAATGCTCTTCAAGATAAAATAAGTTTGATTCCAATATCTGGAACGATTTTCAAGATATGGTCGTCCAAAGTTGAAACTTTGTGTCAGATTTCCATGAAGTTCCTTGGTGCTACATCCAAAATTATTTCTTTGGGTTTTTTCAAATTTCTGACTATACCAATGAAAAAAGGAGGTGAAATTTATCAGAAAAACATTCTGACAACTCTATGTTAGAGTTTTGAAACAAATTGAAAATACTTATTGGTGTCTGAAAATTTTATTTATTCGACATGGCTTCTCAAAATCATCTATGACTCCATTAATATTTCACATATTTTAATGTAAAAATAACTATTCTGAATCAGAATTTAATGCTCTTCAAGATAAAATAAGTTTGATTCCAATATCTGGAACGATTTTCAAGATATGGTCGTCCAAAGTTGAAACTTTGTGTCAGATTTCCATGAAGTTCCTTGGTGCTACATCCAAAATTATTTCTTTGGGTTTTTTCAAATTTCTGACTATACCAATGAAAAAAGGAGGTGAAATTTATCAGAAAAACATTCTGACAACTCTATGTTAGAGTTTTGAAACAAATTGAAAATACTTATTGGTGTCTGAAAATTTTATTTATTCGACATGGCTTCTCAAAATCATCTATGACTCCATTAATATTTCACATATTTTAATGTAAAAATAACTATTCTGAATCAGAATTTAATGCTCTTCAAGATAAAATAAGTTTGATTCCAATATCTGGAACGATTTTCAAGATATGGTCGTCCAAAGTTGAAACTTTGTGTCAGATTTCCATGAAGTTCCTTGGTGCTACATCCAAAATTATTTCTTTGGGTTTTTTCAAATTTCTGACTATACCAATGAAAAAAGGAGGTGAAATTTATCAGAAAAACATTCTGACAACTCTATGTTAGAGTTTTGAAACAAATTGAAAATACTTATTGGTGTCTGAAAATTTTATTTATTCGACATGGCTTCTCAAAATCATCTATGACTCCATTAATATTTCACATATTTTAATGTAAAAATAACTATTCTGAATCAGAATTTAATGCTCTTCAAGATAAAATAAGTTTGATTCCAATATCTGGAACGATTTTCAAGATATGGTCGTCCAAAGTTGAAACTTTGTGTCAGATTTCCATGAAGTTCCTTGGTGCTACATCCAAAATTATTTCTTTGGGTTTTTTCAAATTTCTGACTATACCAATGAAAAAAGGAGGTGAAATTTATCAGAAAAACATTCTGACAACTCTATGTTAGAGTTTTGAAACAAATTGAAAATACTTATTGGTGTCTGAAAATTTTATTTATTCGACATGGCTTCTCAAAATCATCTATGACTCCATTAATATTTCACATATTTTAATGTAAAAATAACTATTCTGAATCAGAATTTAATGCTCTTCAAGATAAAATAAGTTTGATTCCAATATCTGGAACGATTTTCAAGATATGGTCGTCCAAAGTTGAAACTTTGTGTCAGATTTCCATGAAGTTCCTTGGTGCTACATCCAAAATTATTTCTTTGGGTTTTTTCAAATTTCTGACTATACCAATGAAAAAAGGAGGTGAAATTTATCAGAAAAACATTCTGACAACTCTATGTTAGAGTTTTGAAACAAATTGAAAATACTTATTGGTGTCTGAAAATTTTATTTATTCGACATGGCTTCTCAAAATCATCTATGACTCCATTAATATTTCACATATTTTAATGTAAAAATAACTATTCTGAATCAGAATTTAATGCTCTTCAAGATAAAATAAGTTTGATTCCAATATCTGGAACGATTTTCAAGATATGGTCGTCCAAAGTTGAAACTTTGTGTCAGATTTCCATGAAGTTCCTTGGTGCTACATCCAAAATTATTTCTTTGGGTTTTTTCAAATTTCTGACTATACCAATGAAAAAAGGAGGTGAAATTTATCAGAAAAACATTCTGACAACTCTATGTTAGAGTTTTGAAACAAATTGAAAATACTTATTGGTGTCTGAAAATTTTATTTATTCGACATGGCTTCTCAAAATCATCTATGACTCCATTAATATTTCACATATTTTAATGTAAAAATAACTATTCTGAATCAGAATTTAATGCTCTTCAAGATAAAATAAGTTTGATTCCAATATCTGGAACGATTTTCAAGATATGGTCGTCCAAAGTTGAAACTTTGTGTCAGATTTCCATGAAGTTCCTTGGTGCTACATCCAAAATTATTTCTTTGGGTTTTTTCAATTTTTTGACTATACCAATGAAAAAAAAAGGTGAAATTTATCAGAAAAACATTCTGACAGCTCTATGTTAGAGTTTTGAAACAAATTGAAAATACTTATTGGTGTCTGAAAATTTTATTTATTCGACATGGCTTCTCAAAATCATCTATGACTCCATTAATATTTCACATATTTTAATGTAAAAATAACTATTCTGAATCAGAATTTAATGCTCTTCAAGATAAAATAAGTTTGATTCCAATATCTGGAACGATTTTCAAGATATGGTCGTCCAAAGTTGAAACTTTGTGTCAGATTTCCATGAAGTTCCTTGGTGCTACATCCAAAATTATTTCTTTGGGTTTTTTCAAATTTCTGACTATACCAATGAAAAAAGGAGGTGAAATTTATCAGAAAAACATTCTGACAACTCTATGTTAGAGTTTTGAAACAAATTGAAAATACTTATTGGTGTCTGAAAATTTTATTTATTCGACATGGCTTCTCAAAATCATCTATGACTCCATTAATATTTCACATATTTTAATGTAAAAATAACTATTCTGAATCAGAATTTAATGCTCTTCAAGATAAAATAAGTTTGATTCCAATATCTGGAACGATTTTCAAGATATGGTCGTCCAAAGTTGAAACTTTGTGTCAGATTTCCATGAAGTTCCTTGGTGCTACATCCAAAATTATTTCTTTGGGTTTTTTCAAATTTCTGACTATACCAATGAAAAAAGGAGGTGAAATTTATCAGAAAAACATTCTGACAACTCTATGTTAGAGTTTTGAAACAAATTGAAAATACTTATTGGTGTCTGAAAATTTTATTTATTCGACATGGCTTCTCAAAATCATCTATGACTCCATTAATATTTCACATATTTTAATGTAAAAATAACTATTCTGAATCAGAATTTAATGCTCTTCAAGATAAAATAAGTTTGATTCCAATATCTGGAACGATTTTCAAGATATGGTCGTCCAAAGTTGAAACTTTGTGTCAGATTTCCATGAAGTTCCTTGGTGCTACATCCAAAATTATTTCTTTGGGTTTTTTCAATTTTTTGACTATACCAATGAAAAAAAAAGGTGAAATTTATCAGAAAAACATTCTGACAGCTCTATGTTAGAGTTTTGAAACAAATTGAAAATACTTATTGGTGTCTGAAAATTTTATTTATTCGACATGGCTTCTCAAAATCATCTATGACTCCATTAATATTTCACATATTTTAATGTAAAAATAACTATTCTGAATCAGAATTTAATGCTCTTCAAGATAAAATAAGTTTGATTCCAATATCTGGAACGATTTTCAAGATATGGTCGTCCAAAGTTGAAACTTTGTGTCAGATTTCCATGAAGTTCCTTGGTGCTACATCCAAAATTATTTCTTTGGGTTTTTTCAATTTTTTGACTATACCAATGAAAAAAAAAGGTGAAATTTATCAGAAAAACATTCTGACAGCTCTATGTTAGAGTTTTGAAACAAATTGAAAATACTTATTGGTGTCTGAAAATTTTATTTATTCGACATGGCTTCTCAAAATCATCTATGACTCCATTAATATTTCACATATTTTAATGTAAAAATAACTATTCTGAATCAGAATTTAATGCTCTTCAAGATAAAATAAGTTTGATTCCAATATCTGGAACGATTTTCAAGATATGGTCGTCCAAAGTTGAAACTTTGTGTCAGATTTCCATGAAGTTCCTTGGTGCTACATCCAAAATTATTTCTTTGGGTTTTTTCAAATTTCTGACTATACCAATGAAAAAAGGAGGTGAAATTTATCAGAAAAACATTCTGACAACTCTATGTTAGAGTTTTGAAACAAATTGAAAATACTTATTGGTGTCTGAAAATTTTATTTATTCGACATGGCTTCTCAAAATCATCTATGACTTCATTAATATTTCACATATTTTAATGTAAAAATAACTATTCTGAATCAGAATTTAATGCTCTTCAAGATAAAATAAGTTTGATTCCAATATCTGGAACGATTTTCAAGATATGGTCGTCCAAAGTTGAAACTTTGTGTCAGATTTCCATGAAGTTCCTTGGTGCTACATCCAAAATTATTTCTTTGGGTTTTTTCAATTTTTTGACTATACCAATGAAAAAAAGGAGGTGAAATTTATCAGAAAAACATTCTGACAACTCTATGTTAGAGTTTTGAAACAAATTGAAAATACTTATTGGTGTCTGAAAATTTTATTTATTCGACATGGCTTCTCAAAATCATCTATGACTCCATTAATATTTCACATATTTTAATGTAAAAATAACTATTCTGAATCAGAATTTAATGCTCTTCAAGATAAAATAAGTTTGATTCCAATATCTGGAACGATTTTCAAGATATGGTCGTCCAAAGTTGAAACTTTGTGTCAGATTTCCATAGAGTTTCTTTGGTGCTACGTCAAAAATTATTTTATAAGTTTTTTAAATTTCCTACTTTTCCAATCGAAAAAAGTGGTCAACTTTAGTATAAAACATGCTGATAACTCAATGTTAGACGTTTAAAAGCTTGAAACAAGTTGAAAGGACTTTCTGGTCTCTGAAACTTTCATTTATTCGACATGTCCTCATAAAATCATCTATTACTCCGTTAATATTTCACATATTTCAGTGTTAAAACAACTATGCCGAATCAGAATTTATTGATTTTCAAGATAAAACAAGTCTGATTCCTATATTTGGAACGCTTTTTAAAATATAGGCTTCCAAAGTTGAAACTTTGTGTTAGATTTCCATAAAGCTCCTTTAGTGCTACGTCCAAAATTATTTCTTTGGTTTTTTTAAATTTCTGACTTCACCAATCAAAAAAGGAGGTCAAATTCATCAGAAAAACATTCTGACAATTCTATGTTAGAGGTTTAAAGGTTTGAAACAAATTGAAAAAACATATTGATCTCTAAAATTTCATTTATTTGACATGACTTCACAAAATCATCTATAACTCCGTTAATATTTCAAATGTTTCAATGTAAAAATAACTTTTCTGAATCAGAATTTAATGCTCTTCAAGATAAAATAAGTTTTTGAAACAGTTTCCTAAATATGGGCTTCCAAAGTTGAAACTTAGATCTACCAAATACCCTTTTCCATAGCTCTAATCCAGGAGCTACAATTTAGGTGAATTTCCAATTTCCAAAACATGGCCCGTGGAAAATGTCATAAATCCAATTCTCTATGAAAAACTTCTAATTTTTCCAGGCAATTTATAATTATTATTATTCCAGGACAAAATGGTAGTCGATATCCATCCAGTCCACCATCATGGTACCTCATCCAATGAATCAGGTAACCCAAACATTGCCAAAACCACCGCAATGTGCGTCCTATTTCTATGTTCCTTCACTCTTGGTTGTCTACCAATCAAACTTACCAGATGGTTGACCAGAAATGACAAACAAGACGACAACAAATACGTACAGATTTTATTAGGAATTGGAGGCGGTGTCCTTCTTTGTACGACCTTTTTACACCTACTACCAGAAGTGAATGAGTCATTTGAAAGCCTAAACTTGACTCCAAACATTGAAATCCATTACGCTGAACTTCTAATGTGTATTGGTTTTTTTTTGATGTATTTTGTTGAAGAATGTGTTCATATTTATCTTCACAAGTAAGTCTATTTTAATCTAATGAGGCTAAAAATAATGAAACAATTTTAGAAAAGTAAAAGAGCAAGATTCTCCTTTGATGCGTACACTTTCAATAAGACGTGGCACGGAAACTCCAAGACCTTCACAACTTAAAGAAGTCATTATTAATCATAATCAAGAACACAAACATAGTCACATTGATCATAGTGAAATCGATTCTACTGTTAAAGCAATTCGAGGACTTTTAATAGTTTTAGCTCTATCAATCCATGAACTCTTTGAAGGTTTAGCAGTAGGTTTGGAACCAAGTCCAGGCAATGTTTGGTACATGTTTGGAGCTGTAAGCGCCCACAAGTTGGTTATAGCATTTTGTATTGGAGTCGAACTTGTTACTACTGGAATGAAAAATTTCCTAATAGTGATTTACGTTTTTACTTTTGCCGTTGTAAGTCCTTTGGGGATCGGTATAGGCATGGTAATTAGTAATTTGCAGGAAGAATCTTCGAAGTTTGTTTCGGTGTTTTTGCAAGGGTTGGCTTCCGGGACACTTTTATATGTGGTGTTTTTCGAGATTTTGCAAAACGAAAGGAAGAGCGGCTTGAGGCAATGTTTTGCCGTGTTTTTCGGGTTTGTTTGCATGTTTGGCATTACGATGTTATAATTTTGGTGTTTGTTTGAAACAAACCTTTATTGTGATATTATTTTTTAAGAGAGATTTTTGTAAGACTGTATCAATTACAAATAAATTATATATTAATTGAGTTGTTTTTGAATATTTCTTCTTGCCTTATTATTCCTGAATTTCGTATAGGAGAGTTATGAGAAAAATTATAGACAGAGATACAAATAGCACTAATACAGTAGACTCGCGCTAGTGTGAACACTCGGTTCTGTGAACCTCCCAGTAGTATGAACAGCCAGAATGAATACATTATATATTCTGTAGTGTGAACTTTTGGGAATCTCGATAGTATGAACAATGTATTCAACCACGGATTTAATCGTATTCTGCCTACTTGTTGTTTTCATTTGTTGTTTCCGTCCGATTCTGGGGTTCCCCGAATGTTTCGAGACAAGGAATGCACAGGGTTGTTATTCCTAAAACAGGGAAGCAGCGTTCCCAGGAGAACGAGTGTTTTGTCTTTCACTCTAATGTGATATTGTGAATATACCATGTGATAAACAAGTGGCAACGCGTCTATAGAGTTCAAAAGTCTTATAAGTTTTTAGTTCGTTGTTTGATGTGGTCAATAGGTTTTGTGAAAATGGAGAAAAAAATAATTATTTTTCAACTTCCTATGGGTCTGTTCTCACAAGAGTTTCTGACAGTTTGCACAGGGACTTTTGTGAGAACAGACCTTATGAGAAGCCAAAAATTCTAAAAGATTGCGAATAAGGCAAGGGCATATTGGCGTTAATGACACAGAAAGCCTAAGAAACTTTTGAGAGAAAGTAAGTAACCATCCAGTGGTCAGCTAGAACCATTCAGACAAAAAAGACATCTTACTTCAATAAATAAACTGGAAAAATTTAATTAATGAATATGTTTGCAAGTACCTATTGTAATAATTTTTCTTGAATTTTAAGTTTAGAGGCCATTTCTGACAGTATTTTGCATTTAAAGGTAGACCTTCGATGGTGTGAACATCTCGATAATATGAACACGTCCGGTTTTTTTGTGTTCACACTAGCGCGAGTCTACTGTAATAATAAAATAACATTTATAGTATAATGACAAGAAATGCTTCTCAATCTCAACAGACAAATTTTTATGCAAAGAAAACTGCAAATAATCAACAAAACAATATATTTGCAAATAAAATACAACTACAACAATTTAAACTTCCCAGTAATCTTGTCTATATCTTCACTTTTATTAGGCCCAATCCCCACTACAGTTAAACTACCACTTGATATCTGAGTCTTGCCGCTATCATAAACCCTACACACATTTAATTGCTTTTTTACTGCCGCCTTATAAGTCTCACTCAATTCCAGCTCAGAATCACTTCTGAGCACTATTTTAGGCTGCCCCCACTTTAACCAACAATCCAAAAAAGGATTTTTACTATTCAGTGCAGCTTTGTATAGTAGAATCGAGGCATGAGCCACTTGGGAAGCTACTTTGCCTTTACCCATTTGCAAATCGGTTCTAACTAGGAAAACCATTTTGGTCTTGGTGCGGCAGACGGCTAGAAATTGACCCATCAAGCTTGGTTTTTGAGTTTTCGTTTTTGATGTTCGAGCATGCAGTTTTTGAAATCCGTTACTTGGTCCTGGCACTTTCTCCAGTCTTTGGTTTCAGCAATACACTCCTAAAATAGATGAGTACAATATAATATACTTAAGAGCCCAATACACACTACGTTTTTTCTCGATCGACGACGATCTAAAGGGCCCCACACACTACGTTCTTTTTACGACAATTTAAAACCGAACTGTGTGGTAGGAAACCGTCGTGTTTTATCGTCTGTTTAAAATTAAGTCCGAGCAGTTGTATGTGGATTCAACTACCAAAAAATCGCGTAGTGTGTGGTGAAAACAGGCTGACGATGAAACACGACATTTTTAATCGCGACGATGAAAACCGACGAGACAGAACGTAGTGTGTGAGGCCCTTTAGGTATTAAAGTCGCAATACCTACATATGTATAAGTACTTATAAACAATACTTTGAATACTTGGATTATCTATATGATTCAAGTACCTACTTATAAAGTTACTTAGTCACGTTTTTGACAATAAAATATTTAGGTAGGTACCTACTTAATTATATATGAAAAAGTGGTAAAGTGCAATTCAGCAACAAATTATAAATTCTTTTCCCTTATTTGAGTATTATTTCCTGAAAAATACTTATATTTTGTGAAATTGTTTATTGACCACTCCTGTATCTTTATACAGTGGTTTATTTTTCTTGAGTCAAATTACAGTGAGTAGAATTGTTTTCTATCACCGGCTCTCGTCAAAGATTTTCTACATTAAGATCCAGGGATAATTAAATAATGATCACTGTGTATCTTTACACAGTGGGGGAATTGTTTTCGATTATCGGCAGTCGTGAAAGATTTCCTACAAGAGCCAAGAATGATGAAATATTGATCACTCTGTATCTTTATACAGTGGGTTTTCATAAGTCAAATTAAAGTGGGTAGAATTGTTTTCTATTACCGGCTTCGTCAAAGATTTCCTACATCAAGAACCATGGATAATATAATATTGATCACCCTGTATTTTTATACAGTGGTGCAGTTGTTTTCAATTAGTGGCTTTCGTAAAAGATTTCCTACAAGAGCCAGAAATATTAAAATATTGATCACTCTGTATCTTCATACAGTGGCTTATTTTTGTTGAGTCATATTACACTGGGTAAAATTGTTTTCTATTATCGGCTCTCGTCAAAGATTTTCTATATCAAGAATCAGGGATAATAAAATATTGATCACCTTTTATCTTTACACAGTGGTGCAATTGTTTTCGATTACCGGCTTTCGTGAAAGATTCCCTACAAGAGCCGGAAATAATAAAATATTGATCACCCTATATACAGTAGATTATTTTTGTTGAGTCAAATTACAGTGGGTAGAATTGTTTTCTATTACCGGCTCTCGGCAAAGATTTTCTACATCAAAAACCAGGGATAATAAAATATTGATCACCCTGTATCTTTACACGGTGGTGTAGTTATTTTCATTTACCGGCTTTCGTGAAATATTTCCTACAAAAGCCGAGAATAATAACATATTGATTACTCTGTATCTTTATACAGTGGCTTAATAATGTTGTTGAGTCAAAATACAGTGAATAGAATTGTTTTCCATTACCGACTCTCGTCAAAGGTTTTCTACATTAAAAGCCAGAGATAAGAAAATATGAATCATCCTGTATCATTACACAGTGGGGGAATTGTTTTCGATTACCGGCTCTTGTCAAAGATTTTCTACATTAAGAGCCAGGAATAATAAAATACTGATCACCCTATATCTTTACACAATGGTGGAATTGTTATTGATTACTGGCTTTCATGAAAGATTTCCTACAAGAGCCAAAAATAATAAAATATTGATTACCCTGTATTTTCATACAGTGGCTTATTTTTATTAAGTCAAATTACAGTGGGTAGAATTGTTTTCTATTACCGGCTCTCTTCAAAGATTTTCTACATCAATAACCAGGAATAATAAAATATTAATCACCCTGTATTTTTACACAGTGATACAGTTGTTTTCAATTAAGGGCTTTCGTAAAAGATTTCCTGCAAGAGCCGGGAATAATAAAATATTGATCACTCTGTATCTTTATACAGTGGCTTATTTTTGTTGAGTCAAATTACTGTGGATAAAATTGTTTTCTATTACTGGCTCTCGTCAAAAATTTTCTACATTAAGGGCTAGAGATAAGAAAATATTGATCACCCTGTTTCTTCACACAGTGGGGGAATTGTTTTCGATTACCAACTCTCGTCAAAGTTTTTCAACATTAAGAGCCAGGGATAATAAAATACTGTGATCACCCTATATAACTTTAAACAGTGGTGGAATTGTTATTGATTACCGGCTTTCATAAAAGATTTCCTATAGGAGCCCAAGAATAATAGAATATTTAATCATCCTGTATTTTTATACAGTGGCTCATTTTTGTTGGGTCATTAAGAGCCAGGGATAATAAAATATTAATTATCCTGTATCTTTACACAGTGGTGGAATTATTTCCGATTATCGGCTTACATCAAAAATTTCTTACAAGAGCCGGAAATAATAAAATATTGATCACTCTGTATCTTTATACAGTGGTTTATTTTTATTAAGTCAAAATACAGTGGGTATAATTGTTTTCTATTACCGGCTCTCGTCAAAGATTTTCGACATTAAAAGCCCGGAATGATAAAATATTGATCACCCTGTATCTTGACACTGTGGTGGAATTGTTTTCAATTATCGGCTTTCGTGAAAGATTTCCTACAAGAGCCGGGAATAATAAAATATTGATAACCCTACAACTTTACACAGTGGTAGAATTATTGTTTGCTTAAGTACCTAATTAATATAGCATAAAATACTTTTGAAAACCACTTTATGAATAAATTCGAAATATATATCACCGGCTCTTCATTGATTCAATGGACAATTTTTCTAGAGCCAATCAAAATATACTCCATCTCCTTTTATATACCTTCACATACTTGAGTAAAATACTAAGGTACATATTAAAAATATACTGACAGCTGTATGCCTTATCCTCTTTTAACTTAAAAGCGCTTTTTAAAACTGGTCACTTTTAAAAATGTGTATTCTGCGAACCATTCAAATTTTTGAAGGTACCAGTTTTAAAAAGCGCTTTTAAGTTAAAAGAGGATAAGGCATACAGCTGTGAATATTTTACCTTAATACTCTATTGTATATATTTACGTAAGTACTTACTCTCCTCTTATGAAAGTACATATGTACTGAAGTAAAATACCTACCTACTAAAGTAGGTACCAAAAATATACTAAATATTTTCGATATAAAAATGGCCTATTGTATTGATTATTTATTCGTTTGTACTCTCCTTATATATCTTTACACATACTTAAAGAAAATACTAAAGTACCTAGATATTAAAAATGTACTGAATATTTCACGTTAATACTCCGTATTGATTTTTGTTTTCATAAATACTTTCTTCTTATAAAGGTACATACCTACATACTCGAGTAAAATACTAAATACTCACTGAATATATTTTTTTTAATATGGTCGTGAGTACTCTTCTTATAAAGGTACATAATTAAGTAAAATACTAAAGTACCAAAAATCTACTAAACATTTATACAAGTACAAAGTATAATTTTTATAATAATTAGACATAAAATTTGACTTTACCTATATGTACTTTATAATGCAATTGCATACAGCCTGTTTTCTTGAGCATTTCCTCAACTGGATCAGTTATCTCTTGTCCATAAGAGGACATTCTTTTGAGAAAATCTTAAAGAAAAATGAAATAAAATGCAATTTTCTTTCAAAGTCTGAGGTTAGAATTGAATTGTCAAGCTTTGGCAACACTGTTTACTACTAGTCATTCAAAGATTTCCTACAAGAGCCGGGAATATGATATAATATTGATCACTCTGTATCTTTACACAGTGGCCTATTTTTGTTGAGTCAAATTACAGTGGGTAGAATTATTAGTTTGTATTACCGGCTCTCGTCAAAGATTTTCTACATCAAGAATCAGGGATAATAAAAATTTGATCACCTGTTGTTTTCAATCACCGGCTTTTGTGAAAGATTCCCTACAAGAGCCGGGAAAAATAAAATATTGATCACTCTATATATTGGTACAGTGGGTTATTTTTGTTGAGTCAAATTACAGTGGGTAAAATTGTTTTTTATTACCGGCTTTCGTCAAAGATTTTTTACATTAAGAGCCAGAAATAATAAAGTATTGACCACCCTGTATCTTTACACAGTAGTAGAATTGTTTTCGATTACCGGCTTTCGTAAAAGATTCCCTACAAGAGCCGGGAATAATCAAGTATTGATCGCTCTGTATCTTTATACAGTGGCTTATTTTCATCGAGTCAAATTACAGTGGGTAGAATTGTTTTTTATTACCGGCTTTCGTCAAAGATTTTTTACATTAAGAGCCAGAAATAATAAAGTATTGACCACCCTGTATCTTTACACAGTAGTAGAATTGTTTTCGATTACCGGTTTTCGTAAAAGATTCCCTACAAGGGCCAGGAGAAATAAAATATTGATGTCCCTGTATCTTTACACAGTGGTGGAATAATTTCCGATTATCGGTTTTCGTAAAAAAATTCCTACAAGAGCCAAAAATAATAATATATTGATCACTCTCTGTATCTTTATACAGTGGCTTATTTTTGTTGAGTCAAATCACAGTGGGTAGAAATAATTGTTTTTCATTATCAGCGCTCGTCAAGAATTTTCTAGATCAAGATCCAGGGATAATAAAATATTGTTCACCCTGTATTTTTATACAGTGGTAGAATATTGTTTTCGATGACCGGCTTTCGTGAAAGATTTCCTACAAGAGCCGGGAATAATAAAATATTGATGACCCTACAACTTTACACAGTGGTAGAATTATTGTTTGCTTAAGTAATTTTTTATAATAACTTTTTAAAAATTAAAATTATATCACCGGCTCTTTGATTGATTCAATGGACAATTTTTCTAGAGGCAATTAATAAAAGTACATATACTCATCTCCTTTTATAGGTAGGTACCTTCACACTCTTCTCTTGGGTAAAATACTAAAGTACATATTAAAAATAATACTGAATATTTATTACAGTGCAAGTACATGTCTATTATGTACTCAAGTCAAACACTAAAGTAGGTACCAAAAATGACATGTACTAAATATTTTCGGCTTGTGAAAGTGGCTTATTGTATTGATTATTTATTCGTATGTACTCTCCTCATATACCTTTACATACTTACTAAAGTAAAATACTGAAAAATATACTGAATACTCCACCTTTAATACTGTATTGTTTATATTTTCATAACAACTCTCCTCAAAAAACTACATAATACCTAAAGTAAGTACTTTACTTGTCAATTAAAAAAGTACCTACCAAAAATGTACTGAATATATCATTTTAATATTGTCCTGAATACTCTCCTTATAAAGGTAAATACTTGAGTAAAATATTAAAGTACTGAATATTAAACTTATCTATAGTATAAAATTTGACTTTACCTGTACTTTATAATGCAATTGCATACAGCCTGTTTTCTTGAGCATTTCCTCAACTGGATCAGTTATCTCTTGTCCATGAGAGGACATTATTTTAGGAAAATTTCAAAGAAAAATTAAATGAAAAATGCAATTTTCTTTCAAAGTCTGAGGTTAGAATTGAATTGTCAAGCTTTGGCAACACTGTTTACTACTACTTGTCATTGATTATTTTGTTTATTAATGAACAATTCTTTACTATACAATTTTTGTCCCTTTAAAAATGAACGTCCCTCCATTATTTCCCAAATGCTTACCAAAACTTACCGATAGATTGTGGTTCGATGTCGATCATCCTTGTGCAGATGAAGATGAAGTTTCCCAATTGGAAAAAGAACATCAAGAATGGGTCAGTACTTAGTAATATTTTCATTTTACTATACCTAAGTATTTTTTTAAATTTTGTATTTCCCAGATTGAATCTATAACCAGAACGCAGTCGGATTTGCCTCCAATAGGGAAAACTACTACTGAAGTAAATTTTACCAAGCATTTTAATGTATTTTTAAAATAATAATTGTATTTCAGATGGCAGGAGATGATGATGATGAGGAAGAAGATGACAATGATGATGATGATGACGATGATAGTGAAAGCCATGATGAGGAGGAAGAAGATGAAATTGAAATAGAAGCTGTTAATAATTGAAAAATGTCTGTATATATATATACCTATATATATGAACTGAGCTCAAAATCAAGTTCTTCTAATGCAGGTCTTGATATTGTATAACCTTATAAAGTATTATACGTTATAGTATATATAATATAATAATTTTCTTTTAAAAACAATTAAAACCTTGAAATTTATCAACACCTAGCTGTACAACGTTGCCAACTTGATGTTTTCCTTTGCTCAACTACAAGATAAATAAAAAAAGTAGTAAACAGTCCACAGTCCGTAGTCCAAAAACAAACTTAAAGTTATGGCAACTCGAGCGTTCAAATCCTTAATTTTAGGAGCCCCTGCCTCAGGCAAAGGCACAATTTCCGGTAGAATAGTGAAAACCTTCAATTTGGCACACATTTCCAGCGGTGACAAGCTCAGACAAAACATCCAAACAGGCACGCCAATCGGCCAAGAGGCACAAACCTACATCAAACAAGGCAAATTGGTACCCGATAATGTAATGATTAAGTTTATAAGTGAAGAGCTTCAACAGGCACCCAATCGATGGTTATTAGATGGGTTTCCTAGGACTGTAGCTCAAGCGGAAGCTTTATGGGAGTTGCACCGGTTAGATGTTGCTTTAAACTTAGTTGTGCCTTTTCCTGTGATTATAGACAGGGTCAAGGGACGCTGGGTGCATTTGGCTAGTGGTAGGGTTTACAATGAAGGGTTTAACGCCCCAAAACAACCTGGAAAGGATGACGTCACTGGAGATGCTTTGGTGCAAAGAGAGGATGATAAACCTGAAGTGGTGCAAAAACGTTTGGAGCAGTATGAGCAACTTACAAGGCCTGTTATAGAGTTTTATAGAAAAAAGGGGATTTTGCAAGAGTTTCATGGCAAAACTTCAGACGAAATTTGGCCTCAAGTGCTTGATTGTTTAAGTACATTTATACCTTTGGAAATTACAAAAAGAATTTAATTTTGTTATAATATATTTTGTATATTTATAATAATAACAAGACTACTTTTGATACTTAAATCTAGTTTTAATGATGGTGTTTGTTGTCACTGGGATGCATGCGATCGTAGAGCATGTTGCCAGCCATATGAAGCACAAAAGCTCCAAATCCCAGTCCGAACCCCCTAAAGAAACACAATCTAATACGGTGTGCTGTGGTACCAAATTCTTTTGTATTGTAGCGCCAGACTTCGTTACGTAACCAGGGATCTTTTAGGCCTCTAGCTGCCAATTTGCGTTCCACTTGGGCCAGTTCTGGGACGTCGGACACTTTGTATATACGATAGTCGGGGATTTGATAAGGGGGGCCGTGATGGTGATGATGATCGCCTCCCATGATTTTTAGTTGTAAAAATAAAAAGTTGAAAAGTGGTTTGTTATCAAGGAGAATAAACTTTCTAAGGAGTGCTTATTGGCCCCTTTTTGGGTAATCGCCGCCATATTGGTTTTCAAATGTTTCCAACCACTGCTGACGTCATAACTAAGTCGCCAGCTGTTTGCGCCAGCGGTTTTATAAATTTATAAATTTGTCATGAAAAATATATTATTTTGATTCTGATTAACCATTATAGCGCGTAAAGGTACCCTATGACGGAACCAATAAACATCAAGGTCAAAAGTGCGATCTGAGCGCGATATTTCGATATTTGGCTAGCTTTCGTCATTCCGCCTATTTACACGTTTTCAGCATGTATGATTTAATGGAGCCCTAGGAGAATTACGCGGCGTTTTGTTTACATTTCTTTATGTAAGTATAATAACTATAAGATAATTTATTCTATACTATTTAATTGTTTTTAGGGTTTTCTCATATTATTATAAAAACATATTCCTATTCGAGCATAAATTGATCGTTTGTTTATGTATTATATTCTTGTAAACATTACTGTCCCATATGGCATATGGGCCTGGGCAGAAGCTAACATTTTTAGCTGTACATTTTGTTTTAGTGGAATTAGCCATCGCCCATCAGGAAGTTTTGAATACTGCTTATGATAATGAAAATGTTGATGGCATATTATTGAGCCCACACAGAAAGCAAAGAGCTCACTGACCAAGATTCAGCAGATGAGGAACGTGGTTTAGCTGACCTATCTACTAGGCAACTTTGTGCTAGTGCAAACATTGTTTATTCGAATGGGAAATATATCACAGGTAGAGCAGAATTAACAATTTTTTGAGAAATTATACAATTTTAACTTTATTTTTATTTTCAGACATACACGAGGAAATATAAAGTACCACCTTGCGCTACAGAAGAATATGCTTCGGGCTGCAGCAAGTGATTTTTGAGTCAATAATGATATAAGGTATTATGGACTGCATCATCATTCAAACACTTTTCCTGAACGTAAAAAAAACGATGTGGTGGTCAAAACTGTAGCAGCCGAGGAAGAACAATGTGCTGTAAATGCAATATCGACTTATTTATTCACTGTTCTCGAAAGTTTCACACTGGGTAATAATTTTCACCCATAATGCTGCTCGTGACGATGCAGGCCAAAATTCAATATAATCTATTTCGTTTACCTGATCCGAAATGATTATATCCATACAACAGCCTAACCGGATCTTTTTCTTATATTTTTGTAAACTTTCTACAATAGGACATTGCCAAAAGGGTCTAAAGGCAGGTATGGTATCTCCCTTATAATGTCTGTATTTGAATAACTTGTATATGTAATAAATAAATAAATATTTTACAAATAACTCTTTATTTTTATTTATTAATAGGTGAAAATTAAATTAACAAAGTCAAATAACTTGACCACAAATCTGATTTTTACTCGAACTACCTATAACAATATAATACTGGTAATTAGGATTCAATAAAAACTTTACACGTTGTGCTGTTTGCTTGGCCATTTGTATGTCTATCTGAGAAGAGTTTAATAATTGATTAAAAGTATAACTACATTCATTACTTGTATAGTCTCAATAGAATCTTGATTTCTTTTTCTTTTGGCAAGTTTTTCAGCACCCATGGAATCTATTTTTTGGCTCGGTTTATGGATCACTATAGAAGAGGGCAAATTCTGGGATGGTACAACTGTTTTTTTCAATATCCGACCTCTACCTGTACCTCTAAGACCTGTACTCTCACCTGTAAATAAAAAAAACAGTCAATATTTTCAATCAAAACAATTTAAAAATAGATAGTACTTGATCAATGCCTAGAAGCAGGCCTAATAAAATGAAGCTAGGGCACAAAACTACCCATGCTTGTTTACCTTAACACAAAATTCTTGCTTGAGATGCAGATGCACTTTCATGAATTTGGTGACTGGTTTGCCAATACGAAGTTTTAAAATCCAGTAGGCTTTTCTTCTCGACACTAACTCTTTTTCCATTTTCGATTCCAAATAAACCTGTGTGGCCTGTTTCAAGGGGAAATATGTAGAAACTCAATCCTTTGTCAGCTTTTTTTTTTAGCCCAAGACTTGCACTGAGGAACACAACAGTAATGATTAAAAGTCATGATTATATGTAGGTATCTGATATAATTTTATAATTTTAGACTTTAATTATACTAGAAACTAGTTTCATAATTTCCAGCCAGATCATAACATAACCTGTGGTGCAAACAGCCTACGTCAAGGCGAAAAACGCCATGATGCTACGTCACAACTGCTTTTTTGGCTAGGCGGGGCAGGGGGGGATTTGTTACACACAGGCCTTATGAGGATAAGCCATCCTTAGTAGTATGTATCATCCTTGGTTTGTTATGACAAGGGGAAATATTTGTGAGGTTATGTTGGCAATGTTGCCAAAACAATTCACTTTATCAAATAAGAAAAAATTGTTCTTTTATTATGGGGAAAATGAATTTTAGATTCAATTTGAGGCCCTTTTACGCTTATGAGGCTCAATTTTAATTCAAATACCTCTGAAATTAAGCAAATTGATAAATAAAAATCATGTAATGCAATGTTGCCAACATCCGTCAACCAACCAACAAGTAAACAACATAACCTCAAATTTAAAATTTTGTTGTTTACCTTGTTTACAAAATAATTATTTATTTTAGAAATAAATTGTTTAATTGGGACTGATATAATGTCGAAACGTAAATACGAAAGTCAATTTTCGCAGCCCCAAAATAAACGCGTCTCTGTGAACGCCACTGATGGGAAAAAACACACTTTGGACAGTGACGAAGAGGATTTCGTAGACGAGGACAATGTTTTGGATGAAAACGACATTGAAGGCGAAGAAGATGGTAAATAACTTTGTTTTAATTATCGATAGAACCTTATAGGGCTAATTAGATTAATTCACAAAATGTATTTTCTTGACAGTATAACGAATCTTATTATTTAACATGTTCCCTTGCCACTCAGGCTTGACTGGGCTTGTAGTGTTGCGACGCGTCGTTCTTTTGCTATACAGGGTGAAAATTAGAGTTATCCTGTGTTACCTTGCGTTCGGTATTTTGCTCAAAGTGTAGAGCGAGCTGAGCGGAGCCGTAATCACGTGACCAGCGAGCGAACGGAGCAGTTGAACGCTGTATAAAAGTACCGGAAATTTTAATAAACGAACGCGAATGAGGCTGCACCGAGTACACTTTTTAAATAAACGAACGGTAAAGTCAAGCTCGGAGAACTCAGACCAAAATAACGAACGCACGGTTAGTGCTAAACCATTGGAACAAAGTTTTTAAGTCACAAAGGAGCATAGGCCAGGATTGCCAGATCTATGAAATGCAGTGTTGCCAATCTGAATTTGTAAAATTACACGATATGCTGCTCAAATTACATGTTTTTACACGCTGTCAGTCTCACTATTACACGATTTTTACACACGACCCTGGTACCCATTGTGTATAACATCAAGAAGCAAGTATAATTTTTTTTCTGATTTATGATTTTAGGAAATGGGTAAAATCCAGTCAAATCTGAGGCTTATGGCTGTTTCCACCAACTATTTTGGGAAGCCCTAAGGATAAGTATTCCCTAAAATAACATTTTTACATAAAGAAATGTCAATTTAAGGCATACCTATCGTTGGGGCTCGAGGGCTCTTCTAAAATAGTTGGTGGAAGTGGCCATTAATGCTCCTGATCATCGCTGAAATTCAAAATAAATTCTTGAACCTTAAAATCTTGTTAAAATCACCTTTTCTACATTTAAAATCGACGAAAAAACAAGCACAACCTGAATCGCAAGTATACCATCGAGGCCTGCGGGTGACGTCACCATTATAGGCTGCTATACTGCTAATACTGGTGACGTCACTCGCAGGCCCTGCCGATTTGCGAACGTACGCCTCATAAGGATAAGCAATCCTATTAGTACGATTCCTGGCGGTGGGGGCCGTGGCTTTGAATTGGAAAGCCGTGAAACAGAACAAAAATAAGAGAATGTCAAATTTTTCAAATTACACACAAAATACACGCTTTCTGTTTATGTTCAAAAAATTCACGCAAGCCAATCAAAATACACAAAAATCGTGTAATTACACGCTAATTGGCAACACTGGACTGATGTTTTCCACAGAAAAAGCTCCCCACAAGCGAATTTTTTTTTCGGGTGCCACGCCCAAAAGTATAAGAGCCCAATAGGCCGGCATAGACACACGTTCTTTCGCGCGGTTTATCATGTCATCTGCAAAAACCTGTGCGTGAGTGAGGAAGACTGCACGCAATGATAGAATGGGAAGGAATTTCAGACGTGCTTTCATCTGGAATGTGACGTCAGTACTCAGGTACATGAATTTGTGCAATGAAAGATTTGGATTTTGTTGGAATTTTTCACATTTTTATACCTACAATATACAACATTTATTATTAAAACCCAAGATTTGTAAACTAAGAGGATTGCTCATCCTGAGAAGGCGTACGTTCGCCGGTTCTCGAGTCCTCAAGGTCTGCGAGTGACGTCACCACGTCAACGACTTATATTGGTGACGTCAACCGCAGACCTTGATGAAATGCTTGCGATTCAGGCTCGTTATTTGATTTTTGCGTCGATTTTAAATGAAGAAATAGCTATTTATGTAACAATTTGTTAAATTGAGCGTGTTTTTTGCACTAAATGTGAAGTTTGAGTGGAAAAATCGGGATAATTCACGTGAAAAGCTGGACCTGAAATTAATAAAAAAAAAGCGGGACCAATTAACAAAATACGGGACTGTCCTGCCTAAGGTGGGACGTCTGGCAACCCTGGCATAGGCGCCGGAATTTCAAAATCCCTATATGGCGGCTTGGGCTCCAAAAATTAATACAATAAGAATTAATTAGACAGACAGGACTAGGCTACTAGACACAGAGACTTAAATAGGGACTAGTTGACAAATACCTATTTCGCCACGCTGGATCTTTGACATTGATCATTCCTGCATGTTCCTTGAGGTGCGTAGGATAAGTCCAACTATTGACACTTTTTTACCCTGACCTGTCATTAATGTCGCACTTTTTACACCGTTCTTACCGTTTAACGTTCCATTTTAAATGTGTAGTAGATGGTTGCGTTCCAAAACATAACTGCACCACACTAACGGTAACCGGTTCAAGACAAATCGTACGCAAAATACTTTCCTCCCTTGTATATTGAATAACTATTATTAATGCGATGCTATATCTTTCGGTGTTAAAGTTGCTCTATATATTGGGACATAGAATATCATTCATAACTCTTTGGAATGTAGCCGGTGCGTTCTTCAAACCAAAGGGCATGCGCAAGAATTCATATTGCCCGTTTTCTGTGCTGAATGCGGTTTTTTCGATGTCGTTTTCATGCATTTGGATCTGGTGGAAGCCGTTAGGTGGTGAAATACTGGCAGCGTCTCAGTTTGTTCAGTTGTCATCCCCCTAAAATTTACTATACTATACTAAATAGATAAATATTCAAACTGTTTATCAAAGTTGGTATAGCAAAAACAACAAAAACATAAAACACACAAGTTTGACATAAAAATAAATAGTTAGGAATATTAGGATCAGGAACTCGTACCTGCTCACTACACCCACTAATACTTAAGCGGAATTTTAGTACTTTTTCCAAAGGTTTCTAGGTATCTACATCAAGTGTACACAATTTTAAACAGAACAGTACTTTATAAAACTCGATAGAACTGCAGAACTATGCAGTACTTCGACAAAACTATACAGTATTTCAACAGGACTATATAGTACTTCAACAGCACTATACTATACTTGGTGGATTGGTATTACACGAAGAAAAATAATCTTACTGCTTGGCTCTTTGGATCATTCTAGATCAACCAAATCAGTTTTGAGTTGAATAAGACTTGAATTTTGATAGTTTTGAACTTTCCAAAAATTCTTATATAAATTAAAGCTTCCTTTGTAAAGTATTCTAAATTTTTAGTACAATATCTGCCTCAGATTCTGAGTGTTTATTTTTTTGACACCCAAGACCTATACAAAGAAGTCTAGAGCCAATTCGATGATGTTATACAACTCAACAAATACCAGTGAGTCAACCACAACAGAACCTGTAGCTACCGAAATTACAAATTCCAATTTTTCATGGAGGATATGAAAACTGATCTAGATTCTTCGACATTTTCAGAAGAATCATCCATGAAAATGCAGTGTTGACCAAAGTCACCAAGATGCACTTCCTAAAAATAAATACCAGAGGAGAAAAAAGCACATTTGTTGACACCTGAGGTCCTATAATAATCTGAATGACAATCAAAAAGTGGGACTTCAATGAGCAAAATCTTGAGAAGCCTCACAATGTTCGAGAGTTGATAGAATTCATGAAATTTTTGGAATGAAGATTCCCGTCACTGGAAACTAGCCCAGGATCAAAATACCTTAAAGCTGTCTGGCAACACTTACGAGTCACATATTTTCCATTATTAAAAATTCTACAACATCACACATCACTTTCACAGCCTTTAAATCGCTTTTTCACCCTTAATTCCGATTTTATTTTATTACAGCGCTGTTGTCGAGATTTCTTGACCACTGTGGGTACACTGTAGTGGTGACCACAGAATGACTGGTCATTTTGATAGTTTCTGAAGCTACAAACTAAATTGAGTCACATCCTCAATCATTTAAACCATATGGATACTGCTGGAGATCTGGAAAAACAAAAGTTTGGTTCAAAGTGGGTTGCAATGTCTTTTACCTTGGTCAAAAATTTAGAGGTTGCAACTTCCAAGTACGAACAGGAGAAGGGTATTCCCCCTTGTCTCTATTTTTTGGACTCGCAGACTGGTGGTTCTGGCATAGGTCGTGTTACTACCAATGGTTCTGAGGATGAAGAAGAAGCAATCTTTCATGCTAACATAGAGGAGGCTGTCAACTCTTCTGTTCTTCATCAAACCTCTTCTCCATCGCTTAATCGAATAGTTCTCCCAAGTAAATGGGATCTGCAATTTTCCGGTGACAAAAAGGGTTTTTCTTGGGAAAGCTGAAGAACTTCAGGTCACTCGACAGGTCCCTAAGGCGGTACTTTTGGATTCATTTTTTCGGGAAGGCATACCAATTTTATTTGGCTTACAGAAGTGACGTCACAACTTGGGATGGGTTTGTGACACTTTAGCAAGCACTATTAGCACCACCCAGCTTCAGCCAGCGTCCTCAAATACTTTTGGAACTTGTAAATAGGTTTTTGAATGTTTTGGAGCATTTTAAAACTTTGAAAATGTTCTAAAACGTTCCAAAATCCCAAGTAGTAAAACAAAGTTCCACCTTTTTGTTCTCTATTTTCAGGCTTCGCTCGTCAAGATGGCGAACAAAAAATGACCGCGTTCAACATGCGCGAAGAACTAGAAGAAGGCCATTTCGACCGCGACGGCCACTTTATTTGGGACAACGAAAAAGAAGTGCGAGATAATTGGCTGGACAACATTGACTGGCAAAGAATCCAGCCTGGAAGTTCGAAAAAATATGCAGTAGAATCATCTACTACAACCGGAGCTGACTCCTCTTCATCTGACAGTGAAACTGAAGCTGATTTTTCCGAATTTGATACCTACAAGCAAATTATAGCTTATTTGAAACCGAAAGAGTCTATTAATAAGGCTTTGAAAAGATTAGGCGGGGCTGATATTAAATTGTCCAGTGTAGAACGATTGCGCAGAAAGAAAGCTGGCACTCTTAAGGTTTCAGAAGATGTTACTAAATTAACTGAATTGGCCAATCAGGTAATAGGATTTAAGTTTTGTTAATGTGTGACTTATTATTTTTTGCAGATTCTTACCAGATTAGGCAACATGGATGTCTACCAAGAAACCTTTGAACAAATCCAATCAAAACTTGACTCCAAAAAGAGCAATACAATAAAAGAACCTGAACTGGACATGTACTCGGACGATTTCGACATCAAAGAAAAATCCAAGTTGACTGAAGATCCTTCAACATCTAGTGACCAAGTCTTTAAGGCACCTCTTCCAGCTGAACTCAAATGGGAATTCAAATGGTCAAATGATGATGAAAAAATTCAAGGGCCTTTTAATAACGCACAAATGGTCAAGTGGCAACATGAGGATTATTTTAAGGGAGCTGTTATGGTCAGGAAGTGTGGAGAAAAGTCGAATTTTTATTCTTTGAACAGAATTGATTTTGAGTTGTATGAATAAATAAAATATGCGAGTTGATGTTTTCTTTTTTAAAATATCTATACATGTATGCCTTTTGGTTTGAAAAATGCTCCTGCTATATTCCAAATAGAAATCAAAATGTAGTCAATAAGCAATTATAATATTTATTATTTGTATTTGCAACAATTTAAGTTGATAAAGCAGATAAAACCTTCATAGCACCTCCCAGCATACCGCTACCTCTTGTCATCGTGGTCATCAAATTATCCATGAAATTTCCGTTGTTTTTAACTTTGGGAAACAGCTTCAAGTAAACCTTATGTACAACGCCGACGAGTTTTCCAACAACTGGCAAACCCAGCTTCAATATAAAGGGCAAATTTAAGGTTTGCAGCAAATCGATGCTGTCCAGCAAAGCGCCTGGATAATCTCCATGAAGTAAATCGCCCGGGATTTGATTCAGGTCTTTTATTTGGTGAACCATATGCTGAACAGGAGCTATATGGAAATTGGAAAATATTTAAAATGCTGACTTTTATATAATACTTACATTCAGTAGTTTTGGGAAGCTTGGTTTTGTCTATTTTTTGGACTGTTTTAGTTGGAGCTGATTGGACATGATTCAGCATCATGATCAATAGAAGGACATTTAATTTTTTGTTCATTATTGAAGCTTTATTGTTGCAAAAAAAAAATATTATTATGGTTTTTTTGTTAATGGGAAATATACCTTTACGTATATGCATATAGAGATAAATGGTAATTATAATGCTTTTATCGGTAGGTCAATTAAATACATTTTCATATATACAGAGTGAGCCCAGTAAACACTAGCTATGGTAGAAATTTAGGTAACGATTTACATATTTAATATTTGGGTGAACATAACATATACACAATCACAAACCTTCAGTTCACATAAACTTGACATGAAATGACTTGATTGTAGAAAAATAGTCTCAAATTTATATAAACTTCATGTAAATGACACATGTGACTTACGAGGGGTGTACACGAGAGAGCGTTTTTAAAAAACTTTATTTGACTAATACAATAGAACTGACTTAAATCTAGAAATTACTCCTTTTATAATATAAAAAATAAGCTGAATAGAACAATATAAATGCTGAATTGGAGTTCTCACGGGATATAACTTGTGCTTGTTATGAGCACCTATGGTAAATGAAATATCCCAGTAAAAGGACAAGAAAACATTAAAAATAAATCATTTAATCTTTTATTTTTTTCTTTCTATCTATACATTTATAATATACAATTTTATAACATTCAAAAATCTTATGTAAAGATTACCTTAAAATTTCCCAGAGAGTGTGTATAGAGAGATACAAAAAAAGAGATATGTAAAGCACCTATATTTTTATACAGTCTTTATTGTTTGTTGTAATAAGTTAAATTGGTCATATTATATGTAAGTATTTATAAATATTGGACCAATTTACTAGTAGTCTGGGTCCACTTGTTTCTATATAAAGGGAATTTCAAAATAACCCATAAGCACAAAATTTTTGATTGGGCTAAAAATCGAAGCAACAACGATTCATTAAAATATAAGTTTTCTTTTTTAGGTATTATAGGTACCATGGAAGGCATAATAATTCATTCCCAAATACAAGGGAAGGAGATTTTTTAAGGCATATTATCATTATTATAAAAACTAATTATAAATTACAAATCATCACGCAATTAATTAAGTCTATTGTATATGTACAACTAAACTAAAATAATAATAAGGCAACTGTACACAAATTTTGAAATAAATAAACTGATTATTAATAAATGACCACACTAAGACTAAGGAAAAGTTATAAAAAAATATTACAAAATATAATCTAATAGCTGAATTAATTAGAAATACCTACTACTGACACATTATAGAATTGATTGTTTATGTAGGTAACTTAATAATTAAACAATCTATATATGGATGCAAACAATTTCCAAAAGATTCAGTCTTTGATTGTCTGATGGACACTTATGTACAAAGAAAAATAAGTCACTAAACATTAAAAAAAAAAAAAAATACTTTGGTTTTCAGTAATTATATGAATTTCTTCCCATTTTGGAAGCTATCAAAGAATATACCACTATGGAAATTCATTATTGCCTCACATGGATGAATATTAATGAAGCCAAAAGTACTAAAGAGGAACTGATTGTTGAACTGCTAGAGATTGATTCTGGAATAAATAAAATAATTATTAATAAATAATTAATATTTGAAAAACAATAAATGAATTAAGTGAAAAAGTATGTACCTCCTACTACTGATGAAGATTCTTCAGTTCTTTGCTGTGCCGGAGGTGTGTCAAGGGGTGAATCTATGAAATAAAAATGATGATGAAACATGCAAAAGAATAAAAAAAATTAGTGTTTTACTACCTTGTGTTTTCTGTTCTTTTTTGGCGTGCTTTGTTTTGGCATGATGCGAGCCGTGTTTAGCTAAAACTGGGTGCAAAGGAAGCGTGATATAAGCATTAAAATACATAAAAACAAATATAGGTAGTTGGTATGAATAATAAAATTACTAAGTAAAAGCCACACTATGAAATCTGAATTTAGCCAAGGTTTATAGAAAATTTAATGCTCTTTCCAATGATATATAATTTATTTCAATTTGCTTGAAATTTAACAAAGATATGGGCAATTGTTCATGACCATGTCAAGATTTTCAAACTTCAATTACTCGGTAACCGTTGAGCAAATTACAATGAAATTTTCTGCATTTGTAGCTCCTATTAAAGCTCTAAATGGCCTGTAATTTACAATATTCCTAGGTTTATATTTTTTGAGCAAATTGAGTTTGAAGTTTTTGACAAAATTTAGATTAAAAATCAACTTTGAGAGTAAATTGCTCAATAATTATTTGAGATATCAAACTCAATTTTCCACAGATATATAGAGAATTTAATGCTCTTTCCAATGATATATAATTTGTTTCAATTTGCTCAAATTTTCATAGAGATATGGACAATTGCTTATGACTATGTCAAGATTTTGAAAATTTTCCGGAGTCAAAAATAGGATTTTTTTCTTTTATTTTTGTTCCTGCTTAAAATGGCCATTTGGAATTGATGTTAGGGTTGTTTTCCACTAACTTTGACCCACTCTATCGATTGGTGAAGTCAAAATTGAGCAAAACTGAAAAATGAAAAAATCGAGTTTTTCATGAGTATCAATCCCCTTTGAATTCTGATTTCAAAATCCTCAAACCTCAATTGCTCGGTAACCGTTGAGCAAATTGCATTGAAATTTCCAGTATTTGTAGCTTTCATCAAGCTCTAAAAGACCGGTAATTTACAATATTCCTAAGTTTATAGTTTTTGAGCAAATTGAGCTTGAAGTTTTTGACAAAATTTGGATTAAAAATCAACTTTGGGGGTCAATTGCTCAATAAATATTTGAGGTATCAAACTCAATTTTGCACAGATTTATAGAGAATTTAATGCTCTTTCCAATGATATATAACTTGTTTCAATTTGCTCAAAGTTTCATAGAGATATGGACAATTGCTTATGACTATGTCAAGATTTTGAAAATTTTCCGGAGTCAAAAATAGGATTTTTTTCTTTTATTTTTGTTCCTGCTTAAAATGGCCATTTGGAATTGATGTTAGGGTTGTTTTCCACTAACTTTGACCCACTCTATCGATTGGTGAAGTCAAAATTGAGCAAAACTGAAAAATGAAAAAATCGAGTTTTTCATGAGTATCAATCCCCTTTGAATTCTGATTTCAAAATCCTCAAACCTCAATTGCTCGGTAACCGTTGAGCAAATTGCATTGAAATTTCCAGTATTTGTAGCTTTCATCAAGCTCTAAAAGACCGGTAATTTACAATATTCCTAAGTTTATAGTTTTTGAGCAAATTGAGCTTGAAGTTTTTGACAAAATTTGGATTAAAAATCAACTTTGGGGGTCAATTGCTCAATAAATATTTGAGGTATCAAACTCAATTTTGCACAGATTTATAGAGAATTTAATGCTCTTTCCAATGATATATAACTTGTTTCAATTTGCTCAAAGTTTCATAGAGATATGGACAATTGCTTATGACTATGTCAAGATTTTGAAAATTTTCCGGAGTCAAAAATAGGATTTTTTTCTTTTATTTTTGTTCCTGCTTAAAATGGCCATTTGGAATTGATGTTAGGGTTGTTTTCCACTAACTTTGACCCACTCTATCGATTGGTGAAGTCAAAATTGAGCAAAACTGAAAAATAAAAAAATCGATTTTTTCATAAGGGTACCCCCTTTGAATTTGGATTTGAAAATATTCAAACCGCAATTGCTCGGTAACCAATGAGCAAATGGCATTGAAATTTTTTGCATTTGTAATTGTTATCAAGCTCTAAAAGACCGGTAATTTACAATATTCCTTATTTTATAGTTTTTGAGCAAATTGAGCTTGAAGTTATTGACAAAATTTGGATTAAAAATCAAGTTTGGGGATCAATTGCTCAATAAATATTTGAGGTATCGAACTCAATTTTGCAACGATTTATAGAGAATTTAATGCTCTTTCCAATGATATATAATTTGTTTCAATTTGCTCAAATTTTCATAGAGATATGGACAATTGCTTATGACTATGTCAGGATTTTGAAAATTTTCCAGAGCCAAAAATAGGTTTTTCTTTTTATTCTTGTTCCTGCCTAAAATGGCCATTTGGAATTGATGTTAGGGTTGTTTTCCACTAACTTTGACCCACTCTATCGATTGGTGAAGTCAAAATTGACCAAAAATGAAAAATGAAAAAATCGAGTTTTTCATAAGAGTATCAATCCCCTTTGAATTCTGATTTCAAAATCTTCAAACCTCAATTGCTCGGTAACCGTTGAGCAAATTGCATTGAAATTTCCAGTATTTGTAGCTTTTATCAAGCTCTAAAAGACTCGTAATTTACAATATTCCTAGTCTTATAGTTTTTGAGCAAATTGAGCTTGAAGTTTTTGACAAAATTTGGATTAAAAATCAACTTTGGGGGTCAATTGCTCAATAAATATTTGAGGTATCAAACTCAATTTTGCACAGATTTATAGAGAATTTAATGCTCTTTCCAATGATATATAACTTGTTTCAATTTGCTCAAAGTTTCATAGAGATATGGACAATTGCTTATGACTATGTCAGGATTTTGAAAATTTTCCGGAGTCAAAAATAGGATTTTTTTCTTTTATTTTTGTTCCTGCTTAAAATGGCCATTTGGAATTGATGTTAGGGTTGTTTTCCACTAACTTTGACCCACTCTATCGATTGGTGAAGTCAAAATTGAGCAAAACTGAAAAATGAAAAAATCGAGTTTTTCATAAGAGTATCAATCCCCTTTGAATTCTGATTTCAAAATCTTCAAACCTCAATTGCTCGGTAACCGTTGAGCAAATTGCATTGAAATTTCCAGTATTTGTAGCTTTTATCAAGCTCTAAAAGACTCGTAATTTACAATATTCCTAGTCTTATAGTTTTTGAGCAAATTGAGCTTGAAGTTTTTGACAAAATTTGGATTAAAAATCAACTTTGGGGGTCAATTGCTCAATAAATATTTGAGGTATCAAACTCAATTTTGCACAGATTTATAGAGAATTTAATGCTCTTTCCAATGATATATAACTTGTTTCAATTTGCTCAAAGTTTCATAGAGATATGGACAATTGCTTATGACTATGTCAGGATTTTGAAAATTTTCCGGAGTCAAAAATAGGATTTTTTTCTTTTATTTTTGTTCCTGCTTAAAATGGCCATTTGGAATTGATGTTAGGGTTGTTTTCCACTAACTTTGACCCACTCTATCGATTGGTGAAGTCAAAATTGAGCAAAACTGAAAAATGAAAAAATCGAGTTTTTCATGAGTATCAATCCCCTTTGAATTCTGATTTCAAAATCCTCAAACCTCAATTGCTCGGTAACCGTTGAGCAAATTGCATTGAAATTTCCAGTATTTGTAGCTTTCATCAAGCTCTAAAAGACCGGTAATTTACAATATTCCTAAGTTTATAGTTTTTGAGCAAATTGAGCTTGAAGTTTTTGACAAAATTTGGATTAAAAATCAACTTTGGGGGTCAATTGCTCAATAAATATTTGAGGTATCAAACTCAATTTTGCACAGATTTATAGAGAATTTAATGCTCTTTCCAATGATATATAACTTGTTTCAATTTGCTCAAAGTTTCATAGAGATATGGACAATTGCTTATGACTATGTCAAGATTTTGAAAATTTTCCGGAGTCAAAAATAGGATTTTTTTCTTTTATTTTTGTTCCTGCTTAAAATGGCCATTTGGAATTGATGTTAGGGTTGTTTTCCACTAACTTTGACCCACTCTATCGATTGGTGAAGTCAAAATTGAGCAAAACTGAAAAATAAAAAAATCGATTTTTTCATAAGGGTACCCCCTTTGAATTTGGATTTGAAAATATTCAAACCGCAATTGCTCGGTAACCAATGAGCAAATGGCATTGAAATTTTTTGCATTTGTAATTGTTATCAAGCTCTAAAAGACCGGTAATTTACAATATTCCTTATTTTATAGTTTTTGAGCAAATTGAGCTTGAAGTTATTGACAAAATTTGGATTAAAAATCAAGTTTGGGGATCAATTGCTCAATAAATATTTGAGGTATCGAACTCAATTTTGCAACGATTTATAGAGAATTTAATGCTCTTTCCAATGATATATAATTTGTTTCAATTTGCTCAAATTTTCATAGAGATATGGACAATTGCTTATGACTATGTCAGGATTTTGAAAATTTTCCAGAGCCAAAAATAGGTTTTTCTTTTTATTCTTGTTCCTGCCTAAAATGGCCATTTGGAATTGATGTTAGGGTTGTTTTCCACTAACTTTGACCCACTCTATCGATTGGTGAAGTCAAAATTGACCAAAAATGAAAAATGAAAAAATCGAGTTTTTCATAAGAGTATCAATCCCCTTTGAATTCTGATTTCAAAATCTTCAAACCTCAATTGCTCGGTAACCGTTGAGCAAATTGCATTGAAATTTCCAGTATTTGTAGCTTTTATCAAGCTCTAAAAGACTCGTAATTTACAATATTCCTAGTCTTATAGTTTTTGAGCAAATTGAGCTTGAAGTTTTTGACAAAATTTGGATTAAAAATCAACTTTGGGGGTCAATTGCTCAATAAATATTTGAGGTATCAAACTCAATTTTGCACAGATTTATAGAGAATTTAATGCTCTTTCCAATGATATATAACTTGTTTCAATTTGCTCAAAGTTTCATAGAGATATGGACAATTGCTTATGACTATGTCAGGATTTTGAAAATTTTCCGGAGTCAAAAATAGGATTTTTTTCTTTTATTTTTGTTCCTGCTTAAAATGGCCATTTGGAATTGATGTTAGGGTTGTTTTCCACTAACTTTGACCCACTCTATCGATTGGTGAAGTCAAAATTGAGCAAAACTGAAAAATGAAAAAATCGAGTTTTTCATAAGAGTATCAATCCCCTTTGAATTCTGATTTCAAAATCTTCAAACCTCAATTGCTCGGTAACCGTTGAGCAAATTGCATTGAAATTTCCAGTATTTGTAGCTTTTATCAAGCTCTAAAAGACTCGTAATTTACAATATTCCTAGTCTTATAGTTTTTGAGCAAATTGAGCTTGAAGTTTTTGACAAAATTTGGATTAAAAATCAACTTTGGGGGTCAATTGCTCAATAAATATTTGAGGTATCAAACTCAATTTTGCACAGATTTATAGAGAATTTAATGCTCTTTCCAATGATATATAACTTGTTTCAATTTGCTCAAAGTTTCATAGAGATATGGACAATTGCTTATGACTATGTCAGGATTTTGAAAATTTTCCGGAGTCAAAAATAGGATTTTTTTCTTTTATTTTTGTTCCTGCTTAAAATGGCCATTTGGAATTGATGTTAGGGTTGTTTTCCACTAACTTTGACCCACTCTATCGATTGGTGAAGTCAAAATTGAGCAAAACTGAAAAATGAAAAAATCGAGTTTTTCATAAGAGTATCAATCCCCTTTGAATTCTGATTTCAAAATCTTCAAACCTCAATTGCTCGGTAACCGTTGAGCAAATTGCATTGAAATTTCCAGTATTTGTAGCTTTTATCAAGCTCTAAAAGACTCGTAATTTACAATATTCCTAGTCTTATAGTTTTTGAGCAAATTGAGCTTGAAGTTTTTGACAAAATTTGGATTAAAAATCAACTTTGGGGGTCAATTGCTCAATAAATATTTGAGGTATCAAACTCAATTTTGCACAGATTTATAGAGAATTTAATGCTCTTTCCAATGATATATAACTTGTTTCAATTTGCTCAAAGTTTCATAGAGATATGGACAATTGCTTATGACTATGTCAGGATTTTGAAAATTTTCCGGAGTCAAAAATAGGATTTTTTTCTTTTATTTTTGTTCCTGCTTAAAATGGCCATTTGGAATTGATGTTAGGGTTGTTTTCCACTAACTTTGACCCACTCTATCGATTGGTGAAGTCAAAATTGAGCAAAACTGAAAAATGAAAAAATCGAGTTTTTCATAAGAGTATCAATCCCCTTTGAATTCTGATTTCAAAATCTTCAAACCTCAATTGCTCGGTAACCGTTGAGCAAATTGCATTGAAATTTCCAGTATTTGTAGCTTTTATCAAGCTCTAAAAGACTCGTAATTTACAATATTCCTAGTCTTATAGTTTTTGAGCAAATTGAGCTTGAAGTTTTTGACAAAATTTGGATTAAAAATCAAGTTTGGGGATCAATTGCTCAATAAATATTTGAGGTATCGAACTCAAGTTTACAACGATTTATAGAGAATTTAATGCTCTTTCCAATGATATATAATTTGTTTCAATTTGCTCAAATTTTCATAGAGATATGGACAATTGCTTATGACTATGTCAGGATTTTGAAAATTTTCCGGAGTCAAAAATAGGATTTTTTTTCTTTTATTTTTGTTCCTGCTTAAAATGGCCATTTGGAATTGATGTTAGGGTTGTTTTGCACTAACTTTGACTCACTCTATCGATTGGTGAAGTCAAAATTGAGCAAAACTGAAAAATGAAAAAATCGAGTTTTTCATAAGAGTATCAATCCCTTTGAATTCTGATTTCAAAATCTTCAAACCTCAATTGCTCGGTAACCGTTGAGCAAATTGCATTGAAATTTCCAGTATTTGTAGCTTTTATCAAGCTCTAAAAGACTCGTAATTTACAATATTCCTAGTCTTATAGTTTTTGAGCAAATTGAGCTTGAAGTTTTTGACAAAATTTGGATTAAAAATCAACTTTGGGGGTCAATTGCTCAATAAATATTTGAGCTATTTAACTCAATTTGGCACAGATTTATAGAGAATTTAATGCTCTTTCCAATGATATATAATTTGTTTCAATTTGCTCAAATTTTCATAGAGACATGGACAATTGCTTATGACTATGTCAAGATTTTGAAAATTTTCCAGACCCAAAAATAGGTTTTTCTTTTTATTCTTGTTCCTGCCTAAAATGGCCATTTGGAATTGATGTTAGGGTTGTTTTCCACTAACTTTGACCCACTCTATCGATTGGTGAAGTCAAAATTGAGCAAAACTGAAAAATGAAAAAATCGAGTTTTTCATAAGAGTATCAATCCCCTTTGAATTCTGATTTCAAAATCTTCAAACCTCAATTGCTCGGTAACCGTTGAGCAAATTGCATTGAAATTTCCAGTATTTGTAGCTTTCATCAAGCTCTAAAAGACCGGTAATTTACAATATTCCTAATTTTATAGTTTTTGAGCAAATTGAGCTTGAAGTTTTTGACAAAATTTGGATTAAAAATCAACTTTGGGGGTCAATTGCTCAATAAATATTTGAGGTATCAAACTCAATTTTACACAGATTCATAGAGAATTTAATGCTCTTTCCAATGATATATAATTTGTTTCAATTTGCTCAAATTTTCATAGAGATATGGACAATTGCTTATGACTATGTCAAGATTTTGAAAATTTTCCGGAGTCAAAAATAGGATTTTTTTCTTTTATTTTTGTTCCTGCTTAAAATGGCCATTTGGAATTGATGTTAGGGTTGTTTTCCACTAACTTTGACCCACTCTATCGATTGGTGAAGTCAAAATTGAGCAAAACTGAAAAATAAAAAAATCGAGTTTTTCATAAGGGTATCCCCTTTGAATTCTGATTTCAAAATATTCAAACCTCAATTGCTCGGTAACCGTTGAGCAAATTGCATTGAAATTTCCAGTACTTGTAGCTTTTATCAAGCTCTAAAAGACTCGTAATTTACAATATTCCTAGTCTTCTAGTTTTTGAGCAAATTGAGCTTGAAGTTTTTGACAAAATTTGGATTAAAAATCAACTTTGGGGGTCAATTGCTCAATAAATATTTGAGCTATTTAACTCAATTTTGCACAGATTTATAGAGAATTTAATGCTCTTTCCAATGATATATAATTTGTTTCAATTTGCTCAAATTTTCATAGAGATATGGACAATTGCTTATGACTATGTCAAGATTTTGAAAATTTTCCAGACCCAAAAATAGGATTTTCTTTTTATTTTTGTTTTTGCTTAAAATGGCCATTTGGAATTGATGTTAGGGTTGTTTTCCACTAACTTTGACCCACTCTATCGATTGGTGAAGTCAAAATTGAGCAAAACTGAAAAATGAAAAAATGGAGTTTTCTATAAGGGAACCCATGAATCCATAAGAAGAGCCAAAGCAACCATTGAAAGTGACTCTCCAATGATCTCAGTAGTCAAGGGGTGCCCCCAAGGGAGGGGTATTGTCCCCACTCTTGTGATCACTAGTGGTAGATGAACTTCTCATTTCTCTATTCCAAAGACAGCCTTCAATGTCGAAAATGGACATTTCGAGTATATCAGAATGCCATTTGGCCTAAAAAATGCTCCGGCAACTTTCCAAAGGGTCATGGATAATGTTCTCAAAGACATTCAACATACATAATTTTGTCAACTTCTCTACAAGAACTTTACTTACATCAAAATAGTTCTTGCTCGACTTAGGAAATACAATCCTGAAATTCAACTCCATAAATCTGAATTTCTTCAAAAGACAATTGAATTTCTAGCAAATGCAAAATGCTTTAAATGTCATTATCAAATATTTGCCTCAGATTCTAAATGATGACTTTTCTCAGTAGAAGCTCGAATTTCTATAAAAATTCCGATTCAATCAATATATAGCTTCATTGAAACATACCAGAATTCAGTAAGTTTTAAATAATTATTCATACCATCTCTATATTGCTTCAGAAATAAATTTGCAAATATATTTACCTCCTTGGAATGGAACAACATCAGAATACTCAGACCAACCGTGATTGTTCTTAGACCTGGCTCTAGTTTCGTAATCTCCAGGCTCCAAGTTTTTCAACGCGTGTTTAATAAGATAAACATCGTTTTCAGCCCCATTGACTTCTGGAGTGATGGTTTTCCAGCTGGATTCCCCTTTGCGTCTGTATTGGACTTCGTGAGATGAGATTGGCTGTTTGGATTCGACTCTCCATTGCAAAATTACGTCTTTGATTGTTTCATTTGTTGGTGATTTTTCGAATTTTCTTACTACTGGGGTTTTCACGAGAGAAACATTTTTGGATTGATGTCCTAAAGCGTTTGTTGCTACACATGTGTATACTCCAAAGTCATTTTCATTGATATCTATAATTAAGTAAAATGTATTCAGATATAAAATTGCATATTGAAATGTAGCGGGTGCATTTTTTAAACCAAAAGGTATACCTTGGTCTACATTAAATGATAATTTTAGGGTCAATTAGAGAAAAATATGGTTTCTTTGGGACATAATTCATCAAGTAGGTACTTACTTTTAACAATCAACACATTTCTTTCGTTGTTCTTCCTCCTTTCCAAAGTAATTTTTGGTTCTTTGCTGACAATATTTTGTCCATCTCGTTGCCAATTGACTACAGCAATCGGATAAGCTTTGACATCGCAAACAAACTCAGCATCACTTTCGTGATCAGAATTCACAATGTACTTTTCCACATTGATTATTGGAACATCTGTAATCAAAATGTACTTATGTGAACAATAATGTTGCTAAAAATGCTTACGGTTGATGTAGACTTCGTAATGCTCATGGGCAGGATGTCCAACGTCGTTGTCCGCTAAACATCTATAGCTGCCTGCATGTTTTGGTCTGAGATTTTGGATGGTAAGAGTTTCACCTTCGGTACCCAGCCATTCGTTGTTTTTGTGCCAAGTTATTCTGGGTTTTGGGTATCCTGTGGCTTGGCAAGTTAGGGTGAGAGTTTCTCCCATATCAAACTGAAAAGGAAAATTGAATACATAAAGTCAATATATTGATACAGAGTTATTTCTGAGTCGCTGACATTGAAGTTTAAGTTCAAAATTTGTCTATTCCAGGCTCTTGAATCGTCATCCTATCTAATAAAGTCAATTAGTTTGAGTTTGATTGAAACTGTATGATTACCTATTCAAAAACTGATGTTCTGACTTTTAAAATGTTGATTTCAAGTTTTGTCTATTTTTGGCTCTTGATATTAGAGTCAATATATTGATTCAGAGTTATTTCTGAGTCGTTGACATTGAAATTTAAGTTCAAAATTTGCCTATTCTAGGCTCTTGAATAATTTTTTAGTTAATTAGTCTGAGTGTGTATCTTTGCCTGGAAATTCTACAATATGTCTACAAAACATTTTACATAAGTTGGAAAGTAGCAGGTGCATTTTTCAAACCAAAAGGCATACGTTGCTCTTACCACATGTTTATTGTCCACAGCACTAATTCCCTTAATCCCAGGCTGTTGCTTCTGATACACATGATGAAGAACCTCAGGTTGATCAATCTCAGTAACAGCCAACTTGCAAGTATAATCCCCAAAATCCTCAACGCCTTCTAAAATAATCTCCAAAGCACCATTCGGCAACAATTTGTAGTTTTTCTTGTTGGCTATGTTAATATGCCCTTGGAACACTAACGTATTAGAATTTCTGGTCCAGACTCTGATGGGTTCGTCTTTGGATGAAGACTGGCAAGGTAGTCTAATGACTTCGCCAATTTGTTGGACGAAGGTTTGTGGTTTTGAGACGACTTTGACGTCGCTGGAGCCTCCGGTGTCCGCTGGGGGTTCTTCAGCTGCTGAGTCTTCGTCGGGGTCTTCGTAGTAGTCAACTTGGTCTTGTTGAATGTTTTCGTCGATGTCTACTAGGGCACCGTAAGTGTCTTCGTCATTTTTCAATCCATCTGTAACATAATAGTGAAATGTAATTCCATGCAATTTGTATGAAACCCCAATAAATATTGGGCTATAGTTTTGGGTGCATACAAATTGCACAATTAAATATGTGATTATTATGTCGCTTGCAACAAACATATATTTATTATCTCGTTAGGAATATTTTTGCCTTCCGAGAATCACACAAGTCATTAGGAGATTTTTATACCTAGGATGGGCCCCTAATTGTCGGATAACAATAGGCTATCCGTTTATTCGAAATTATACAGAGTCATTGGGGTTTGAATTTATGAAATATATTATTAAGTAATTTGCCTCAACTACCCATATACCAATGGGTGAGATCTTCAATACGCCATCCCTTGACCCTTATACCCTAATAGCACAAAAGGTATCATGGACGTTTCTAATTCTATGAATTCAAGGGCCGATAATAATACCTAATTGAATCTTTGATCAGTATCTATAGTCTAAACCTTGATGATCACTTTTCGAAAAATTGATCTACAACATTTAAACTATAAATATATGTCATGATTGCCTAAAACATTTCGCGAAAAGCTTAAAATATACCTGATTAAAAAGGCATTGTAGCAGTTTCCAAGAATCCTATACCATTCCTTCCTAATTATGTTTAATTTTATATTTACATATTATTACATATTCTTACTGTTTTCAAAATTCATTCCTTAGGGTGAATACCTACAGTTTACAGAGTGTATTCTCCTGAATAGTAATTTTAGTTTATGATAAGTTCCTTTATTGTTAATCCGTTAGTTTAATATAAGTAAGTGTTTTAAAGCATAGGTACACACAGAATAATTTTATCCCAGGTATAAAATCATAGGGGTGCAAAACTAACCTAAGACAACATTTATAAGGGTGAGCCAGCACTAAATACAAAAAAATTAATGACACCTGAAACCCCGCTGGGGGTTTCAGACCCTTTTATGTGCGGCTAAAAAAATTCCGATTTCCTCCCAGACAAAGTGTAAATTGCATTTCAACCCTTGAAAAAAAAAGTGTTGCTTTAATCCCCTAAAAGCAAACACATTTATTAAAAGTTATATGACAGAGAGGATTTGTATTATTGTGCTTAAACGTTATGAGAACAGATTATGGGGGCAACTTTTGAATGCAATAATTCCAAATTCCCAGCAAGTATCTTTCAGCACATTAAATATTTAAACAAATAAACATCGCAGGAGCCTATTTGTTTTAACTCGATGCATTTTTACTGTTCTGTTTACGTTTTCTTCTCTCTGGCAATGGGAAAATGTGCGTTAATTGCTAATTAGTCGTTTTTGATGGATGTGCATTAAAATAACAAGGTTTTTTGTTTTTTATGTATTTCTTTATTGCATTTTAGTAATAACTTCCTTATGTTTTAGCTAGAAAAACAACCAATTCGTTATGGGTGAAATTTCTATGTATAGGTAATCCGTTAATATTTCACATATTTCAATGTAAAAACAACTATTCTGAATCAGAATTTAATGCTCTTTAAGATGAAATAAGTTTGATTCTAATATTTGGAACGGTTTTGAAGATATGGGCCTCCAAAGTTGAAACTTTGTGTCAGATTTCCATAGAGCTATTTTGGTGCTACATCAAAAAGTACCTATTTCTTTGGGTTTAAAATTTCTGAATCGAAAAAGGAGGTCAAATTTAATAGAAAAACATTTTGCCAACTTTATTTAGAGGTTTAAAGACTTCAAACAAATTGTCAATAGGTTTTGGTAGGTATCTGAAAATTTCATGGATCTAACATGGCCTCACAACATCATCTATCAAGTACTACATTAGGTAGGTACATAGTACCACACGCAAATTCTTAGACACGTCTCTTTTAGGTATGCATACCTAGCGTCTCAACGCCTGAAGAACAAAAAAAAAGACATTTAGAAGACGTCCATAAGATAGTAGTACCTACTTGATAATTCCTATTTAAAATGCATTAGAGATCCGCAAAAGTGTACCTACATTTTTTGACATCAACGCAATTTAAAGGGAAAAGGATCAAGTACCAAAAGAGTTCAACATTTCAACTAAAGATTTAAATTCAGTGGTTAACATGTGTTCAAAGCCAGGTTGACACGGTCCAAGGGTACTTGGATCAAGTAGATACACTTGGATGCAGAGCTGTCATTACTTCAAGTAAATTACTTGTAAAATGTATTCTAATTACTTTTTAGTATTTGAAGTACTATAATGCAAATACTTTTGTTTTTGGATATTTGTACTTGATTCTGCAAATACTTTTCAATAAAGTATTTGTATTTGGTACTTGCATTAACAAAAAAAGTAATTCAAATACTGGGCATTTGTACTAAAAAATACTTATAATATTTCAAATACCCCAGAAAGTAAAAAGTAATTGAAATACCCCAAAAAGTAATTCAAATACTTCACTAAACTTGAAATTAACATGTCCTACAGCAGATATGACTATGACGATTTTTTTGAACTAGATGGTTCCCACTCCCCGCAGAGTCTTAAAAATAACAAAAGAAAATTTGAAATGGAAATTCTTCAATATGCAGAGGATAACAGTATAGATATGAAATCCTTGGATAGGTCCTACTGTCATGAAAGAAGTTTTTCATAGGTACAGGGTGTTAAGTTATAAAGTACCACCACCTGTAACTTTTTTATTTTTGATCGTACATAAAAAAGATTGGTTGAAGGTGGTACTTTATAACTTGACACCAGGTCCAATACGTGTTTTCCGTCATTAGCCCCTGTAGAAAGACTTTATTATTTTCGCAGAAATAGTAAAGTATACCTACAATCTGCAACTGGAATCTTGGAATCAGAAAAATCTGTATTACCTACTTCTTAGAGGTATTACAAGTATTTTTAGCTTTGAATACAATTTAAAAAAAAAATAATTTTTGAATAATTTGAATTCCTTTTTAGTGGGTACCTGAAGTACTTCGTATTATTCCAAACACACATAGGTATTTCAAATATTTAAGAAGATTTGAATTAGGTATTTTACTTGGGAAAATCAAGTACCAAATTAAAGTACTTGAAACTTGAAGTACTTTTCAAATTGAAAGTATTTAGTATTTGTACTTGCAACATGAATTTTCCGTAATTGATATTTATTGGTATTTGAAATACTATTCACCAGAATTTGTGACAGCTCTGCTTGGATGATATACTTAGGAGGTTGACACAGTATTTGGATCAAGTACCATTGGACGTTGACGTACGTCTCACTTGGATGATACTTGGGTCATCAAATGTTCATCCAAATTCAATTAGATGGTTCTAATATATGGATCACACATGAATAACACTTGGACCAAGTAGGTAAGTTAAGTTGGTAGCCAAACCGACTTCCTTATATTTGATCCAAGTTTCTACACTTAGACCATGTCATCCTGCCTTTATATCCAAGTCCAAAGTTGGATAGGTTCTAACATTAAGCTGGCTGCCAACTTTACTTGGTCCAAGTGCGTTTGGGTTAATAGTGTCATCCTGGCCTAAAATCTTTTCGAAGACGTCTTTAAGACATGTGGTTGAATGTCTTAGAAAAATTACCTTAAGACGACTTTAGGCAAACGTCTGAAGGACGTTGGGTATTGTAATAGACGACGTCTTTAAAATCTAAGGGGCTTGGACTATGAAAATGACCAATAAAATTACTTAATACAAATAGGAACATCCTTTGCTTGTACTTTTATATTTTTCCAAAAAACTGTTGAAGAGAACATTTTGAAACTTTCAGTATAGAAAGAGGATGGTTAGAAGTCCATTATAGTAGAATTTCAAATGGATCCAGCAACCACATGAACAGTTCTTGGACTTAGACTATGAAAATGACCAATAAAATTAATATAAATAGGAACATTCTTGCACTTTTATATTTTTTCCAAAGAACACTGCTGAGGAGAACATTTTGAAACTTTCAGTATAAAAAGAAGAAGGTTAGAAGCCCATTATACTAGAATTTCCAGTCGATCCAACAATCACATGAACAGTTCTTGGACTTGGACTATGAAAATGACCAATGAAATTAGTATAAATAAGAATATATCCTCTTGCACTCTTGTATTTTTCCAAAGAAGTGTTGAGGAGAACATTTTGAAACTTTCAGTATAGAAAGAGGATGGTTAGAAGTCCATTATAGTAGAATTTCAAATGGATCCAGCAACCACATGAACAGTTCTTGGACTTAGACTATGAAAATGACCAATAAAATTAATATAAATAGGAACATTCTTGCACTTTTATATTTTTTCCAAAGAACACTGCTGAGGAGAACATTTTGAAACTTTCAGTATAAAAAGAAGAAGGTTAGAAGCCCATTATACTAGAATTTCCAGTCGATCCAACAATCACATGAACAGTTCTTGGACTTGGACTATGAAAATGACCAATGAAATTAGTATAAATAAGAATATATCCTCTTGCACTCTTGTATTTTTCCAAAGAAGTGTTGAGGAGAACATTTTGAAACTTTCAGTATAGAAAGAGGAATGTTAGAAGCCCATTATACTAGAATTTCAAATGGATCCAACAACCACATGAACAGTTCTTGGACTTAGACTTAGACTATGAAAATGACCAATAAAATTAATATAAATAGGAACATTCTTGCACTTTTATATTTTTTCCAAAGAACACTGCTGAGGAGAACATTTTGAAACTTTCAGTATAAAAAGAAGAAGGTTAGAAGCCCATTATACTAGAATTTCCAGTCGATCCAACAATCACATGAACAGTTCTTGGACTTGGACTATGAAAATGACCAATGAAATTAGTATAAATAAGAATATATCCTCTTGCACTCTTGTATTTTTCCAAAGAAGTGTTGAGGAGAACATTTTGAAACTTTCAGTATAGAAAGAGGATGGTTAGAAGTCCATTATAGTAGAATTTCAAATGGATCCAGCAACCACATGAACAGTTCTTGGACTTAGACTATGAAAATGACCAATAAAATTAATATAAATAGGAACATTCTTGCACTTTTATATTTTTTCCAAAGAACACTGCT